ACATGTGTGGTCTGACTGTTCCCCTCCCTTGACATTAGTTTTATCCCTGTCTCTCACTTGTCTTGTTTCTTGTGGAACACCTTCAAAGAGTGATGAGAGAAAAAGATGTAGAATGAGATATGGTCTGCTGACTCAGGTGCTGATAAACATCTGTGCTTTAACTACAGGTGTTAGAAGAGCTATGAAGGCTGTAGACATGAAAGACCCTTTTGCCTTTCACCTTTCCACTGCTTTAATGAAGAATTATCTCTAGCAAAAATGATTTACTCCTAGTCTTTCAGAATAGTGGTTTTTTTTTTTTGCATGTTCTCCCTGTGTCTGCGTAGGTTTCCTCCGGGTGCTCCGGTTTACCCTACCACTAAAAACATACATACTATTACATGCATATCTACACGCAGCAGATATGAATTTATACATGAAATAATTTACTGCTTACCTTTTCTGATTGTGTCTGCTCATAATCTGTATGGAGGCATGGAAAATGCTTTCTCACCAGCTCTATGAAGCTGATATGGAAGTGCCATGAGATAAGTTTACTTCATTCCCATACATTAAATGGTAAATTGCATCAAACTCACCATCTTTGGCATAACAATCCTGGTGGTTTTATTTAGATAATGTCTTTGTAAATCCAGATATGCCCTGGCACAACTGGCAAATCAGTTGCTTTCTGTCATATAATTGTTTTCTATCAGCTGGATTGACGACACAAAGGTTGTATTGGAACTCCATCATGTGTGACAAAGATAATGAAAAGTAAACTGATGAGCACATTGACTGACTTTAAAAGTTTTAAAACAACATTGTAGCGCTTACAGGCGAAGGAAGAGGTGTATGTTTGTGTTCGCGAATATGTCCGTAGAGAATGAGCACCTGCAGCAACAATGGGCAGCTGTGTGTTTGTGGAGCAGAGCTGGAGCAGCGGGACACCAGCCTCTGTTATTAAGGCCTGAACCTGCACTGTCCAAAGCCACTGTGTCAACGGATCTACTTTTAACTACCACGTGTGGCCAAAGAACACGGGGCATATTGTTAAGGCTGCACGATTAATCATGATTTAATTGAGATTTTGACAGTCAGATTTGGTCAGTGCAGTGATGCATTAAGCATTATATACTACAAATATTAAATTGGTTTGTTGTTTCATGGATTGGGTTGTGACAATTCTCCTAACATATTACTGAGTCAGACTTATAGTTTTTGTTTAGAGCTAATATCTCTGTAATTCCTGGGCCAACCAAAATGAAACAAAAACTGTCACAAGGTTTCTGATTTTCTCGTCAGTACAACATGTCAACTATGGTATTATTATTTTCTCGTAAAGGTGTCTGGAAGTGGCGACATCTAGGACTTTCAGACTTTAGAATAATATGGTAAATGTGTGAATCTCATGCATCAAATAATGATCTGGGAAAACATTATTTGTCAAGATTTCTTTCAAAAATATAATTAATTACCATAGAGAAATAAAATTCTAGAACATGAACGTCATGTTAATCTTAAGCTGACTGAAATAATTGCAAATGAACATAATGTGAGACTCTAAAAAGCCTTTCAAGATCATTACAGGGGCACGACTGTTATTTAAGAGATGAGGACTCTATTCCAGTGTACTATGGCAGCAAAACTTTGTTAACTCAAAGGCTCAAAGGGAAGATGATTCAGTCATTACATAAAGCAGAGCTATAGTTAAAGGGAGATACACATGTCTGTAATTAAAGAAGCAATTATGTAAAAAGTGAATGACTTATCCACAACAACAATGTTCCTGTTACTCATTGGTTCGTAAAAAGCCGGCACGTGTGTCCTGTTAGCGCTAAATGGAACACCTGTTTGGAGTAACGTGGGGACAGAGCTTTCTATACGCTCTGTAACACAAGTACACAACACAGGAAGGGCTTTGAGTGGCTTTCTTTACATTGTTGGCATTACGAATGGGTATTTCTACTCTAGAGAGGTGTTCACAGTTTGTCCCTTTCAAAAGCCATAGGCCTCAGAGGAAGCAGCTGCAGAGAGATGAACATGATCTACAGCGGGACAGTCCTCGTTCTGACTTCCCCCGGGACAGTTGCATTAACATGGGAGATTTATGCACCTCTTGACATTTCTGCTCTTTGTTTGTCCTGTGGAGTGAAAGTGAAACAGGTTGCGACGCTGGGACTTGGGAATCTTCTTGATATTCCACCCTTTGTTTTTCCTGGTTTGTTATTAGTAATGCATCTGTTTTCTTGGGAAAACCCTTAGCAGTGCATTTGCTGGCAAACATACACAGTCTCTATTGTTCTTTAGCTAGCATTACACTCTGTCAGCCTGGTTTACAATGGAGTTATATAAGAGCTTTTGTTTAAATTTTGAGAAAAAAATACGTGATATCCGATTTCAACCCCACAGCAAGTAGTTATATATGCTCCTTTTGTAAAATAAGTAATTTTCTTTCTTTAAAATGTATCAAGAAATGTCAAATTTTGTCTTATGGTTTATTGTTAGTATTGATTGTTGATCAAATTAGAATCTGGTTTTGATAATAGCTTTCGATGTTCAATACTTTTGGATACCGAGAATCAGAAATACAGTAATTGTTGGATTATAAACAATTACTGGTATTTAAACCGTACCAGCTACAATTGAAAAAAAAAAAAAAAAAATCCACATTAAGGCCTCTCCTGAATATAAGCCGCACAGGATTCTAGCACTAGGTGTCTTAATGCACTGTTGACCCATGATGATCAAAACACTCTGGTCAATCTATTTTTACAATAAACATGCTTTCCATCCCTTGAAGATTCATACAAAATACAAGAGGCGCCCTTAAAATACGTACATGGGCTGCATAACAAGTTTAAATAACTTGTGGCTTTTGGTCCAGAAACTACTCTATACAACGTTTGGAATAATACATAGACAATTATAACAATTATGATTTGTGCCAATTTTGAGTGTTGTAAGCATGAAATGAATTGCTTCGAGTTGCAAACCAAAATACTGAAACCTTTCCATAGATTGCTGGGTTATTTTTTTCTGTAATCTAAAACTGTGCTATACTATGACTTGAACATAATTGTTGATACTGAGGCCCCCTGGAGACACACACAGAGAGAGCTTAAGCTGCACTGATCTTCTTTGAGCTATGGAACAAGCTCGCACAGCTCTGTCATTTGATGCAGAGAGGGACCCTGACACTATTCTCTAATGCGAAGCTTGAAATGTGAAGCATTCGTTGTTGACATGCTATACAGCGTCGTTGGGGTGTCAGTGGGTTCACGTGCATGTGTATACTGTGTTTAATTTTCCATGCAGTCAGTGCCCCTAAGACTGCGGCTTACCAACGCGCCCAAACCTGCTCCCCTGATTCCCAATGCAGCCGCGTGTGCTGCCAGTAATCCCCTGAGTACTGGGGCGGGGTGGGGCAGCCAGGGTGGAGATAGAGCTGTCACATGAGGTAGAAGTGGAAAAAAAACTTCACAATAGTTAAAGTTTCAAGAGCAGGTGAACTTCGACAGGGGGTACTATTGGCCATTTTACCAGGTGTCCCACCACACACCTCTAACAGAGTGATTTACAACTGCCCAGTGCTATAACAATTTATGGCCTTGTACAGCTTCAACATTCTACTTGTAATAGCACTTCCCGTCAGCCCATTTAAGTTCTTTCCAGTGGTTTCGCTTCTACAATACATTTCAAACCCCTATTAGCTCCAGATTGTACATTTTAAGCTGGGGTACCTAACGTGTTTTGTTTCATATAACATTTTGTTTGTCCCCACAGACTGTGTATAATGAGATATAATTGAGAACAAATCAGACGTCAGCATGCTGTCTTCATTGTATTAGAACACATGATTTATATTCTGGTAAAAAAGAGCCCTGTGAGTCACTTTTTGATTCTCTGGGCTGAGAGCAGATTGGCTGAGTGAGGGTGGTCCTCTACTTTCTGTCTAAAAATGTTGATCTATTGATGTAACAGAGGTTAAAAGTACTTGCCTTGTGAAAACTAGCAATAGAACCAAACTGCTTTGAGGAACTAGTTTTATTTTTATGTTTTTATATTTACCCGGTAAAGTAGGTTTATTTCGATTTTCGGATCTAAAAGTGAGTCAATGTGAGTGCTTTTTTTGGAACATACCATCCAAACTTTCCTCTTTAGCCCATTGATAATATAAGAAAGTGCAAACAACATTTATTTTATTTACATTTTGCTATTTTTTACAGTACAATTGTAAGTGCATTTATAAAACGGTAAACTTTCCTGTGTCGACTACATCTGCCATGACCTTCGAATGAAAGTGTATTGTCTATGCTGAAATTAGCGTGCGATATGTTGACAGTATTAGTAGTTGAACTTAAATGTGATATCTGCTCTTCATTTAAACCACAAAGGACCAAAATCACTTAGAATTGACGCGGAAAGAAATGACATCTCAGAATAAACAGCGTGAAGTAGAAATGAAGGAGATGGACGGTTTGTGTTTAACGTCTCTGTCAGTAACTTCAGATGTAGGAATCCCCCTCAGTTGGACAGTCCCTTTGTTGCCCTCAACACCTGCAGCATTACAGGTATTTTTCATGGCAACTTTTAATTCTATACTTCAGTTAAAGCACCATAAATATGACTCTGTAAGGAAGTCTCCAAATTCCTACAGATATGACTTGTCTTCCATCAAAGTTCATTTGGTCCAGGCTTAGTCCACATTGTGTAATAAAAAAAAGTAAAGTAAAATGCAGTTTATATGTACAAAATAAATTAATTTCAACATATATCTTTTGACTAAAGTCAGGTCAGTTCAAACATGGAAAATACTACTACCTATTGAGGAGTACTTTTGTATGGCTTTTTCCCAATCCATAACAATAACGTCACGGATCACAGAAGGAAAACTGGACTACAGATCCAGGTGGTTTTAAAAATTCCCTTTGTCGGTGTCTTAAGTCTCAAACAAAACTCCTTTCATCCTTCTCGGTTGTATATCCTTGTGTGCCAATGCTCCACGCCGCTCTGTATTTTTAGCTGCACTTACAGGACTTCACGATCATATTGGACAGCTGTTCCACCTAAAAGTGAAAATCAACACCAATATTAAAACTGGTCTTCAAACACATAGCAGTAGCATGACAAGCTCTGTGATGTGGTATGGGTACCTTGTGTTGTCGGCCCACGTAGTAGAGGATTGGCAGCGGCTCGAGGCTCTGGGGAACGCAGCACGGTTGGGCTGAGGCTCCTGGGTTGTGATGTTTGTACAGGGCCAAGATCTGTAAACAATTATATCACTCAAGCAACAGCGGCCCCCAACTGAGCATGACTTTCACCACTATCACTAACTCTGCCAAACACTTTCATGACTAAGTCATAAAGAATACATTTGTTTTCTTTGAAAGTGTCTTAAAGAAGAAACATGATGCATTTAATACTTTGCCATTTCATGTTTGAGGAAATACATGTTGAAACCCTGAAAGTATCCAGGGTAAATATCCCTATGCTACTACCAGAGGGAGGCAGAGTTTGTTTCATTTTTTTTCAAATTCAAAAATTACCGGCTGCAAACACAGCCATGTGATCGTAAAGAATGCAATTTAACCAAAAACATTTTAGGGACTTTACTTTTGTTTCAATAGCAGTAATCTGCTCTGAGTGTGATGTCATAGTGGTACAATGACATCAAACTATTACAGGTGTGAGATAAGAGCTTTTGGACAGAAGATAAGATAAGATAAACTTTATGATCTGACAATGGAGATGTCACATTTGGCATAAATAGTATCACTCAGGGTGTGCAAAATACAGGAATTGTGCAAACAGGAAATGTGCAACATGTTAAAAGTGAAAGATAATCTCTTATGTGCAAGATATATTATGTGTAATAAAATATAAAAGTGACACTAGCAGCGCCAGAAGTTTATGATATTATAATACTATATTCTCATCCAAAACAGACCTATGTTGTAACATGGTTAAACAAATCAGAAGGTAAATTTTGCATTATAATACGTCTCCTTTAGATCAGGCTGTGCCAAAAATGTAAACATTGGATAAACATTGAGATAGCAATTTGTCAGCCTCAGTTATTGACGTGTGCATTCAAATTGAGATGCACCTGAAGAGTTGGAGAGGAACACTTTCTTTCTCCCAAACACAACTGAACTGAAGAACTGAGACTGTAAAAGCTTCTATCTCAGACCTGTAACAGTTTGATGTTTTTATATCACTGACTTCACACTCTGAGAAATGTACTACCTTTTAAAACAAGTAGTGCCCATAATTTTGGAAATTTGGGAAAGTGAAATGACATTCTTTACAATCACATGACTGTGTTCGCTGCATGTAATTTTCAAATTAGGAAAAAATCAATTCAACTCATCCCTCTGGTGGCAGCATTGGGAGTTGCAGAAAGAAAAAATTTTTAACCTTCATAATTGTTTCACTATAAGAAGGTCCTTTATTTGTCCCACAATGGGGAAATTTCAGTTTGATGCATACACACATACACATCAAGGCAAGCAGCGAACAGCACTTCTGTGCTCCTTATGGGCAAAGTGGGTTAAGTGTCTTGCCCAAGGACACAACGACAGCAGACATCAGTGGAAGTCAGTGGAGGAGGTCTTGTGGTGGGCTCGAACCAACGACCTTCGGGCTCGAAGGTCAATGCTCTACCAACTGAGCTACTGTCGTTCATACTCAGTTCACATCGTGAAACATAAAGTCACTTCGTAAACAGTCTCATTATGATTCTTAATAGCCAAAATGTATACATAATATTTCTTTGCGTCAGTCCATGCAGGTAAATATCAAATTAGAACAGGAAAAAGTAATCGATTCTAAAATTGGGATCAATCATTATCATCCCCCCAGGTTACCCAGCCCTACTTGAGAAATTCTAAAAAGTCACACCAGTCCATACCTGTGAATATTTATTCTCAGCGTTCCAAATGTAAGTGCAGGAGCCCATGCAGTAATTGGCGTGGTAGCCCGTGGGCTTATGTATCCACTTCCATCCTAGATCCCTCCTGAAGTCAATGTACAAGCTCCGCACACAGCATGTCTCTGTCTGGCTGAGGACGAGAAAGTGTGAACAAGTCAAGTCAAGTACGCATACCTTTACTCCAAATCTATTTTATTATTGTTGTATGTAGTACACGTGTATAGTTATTTCACTGTGCTTTTGAAAATATAATTTCTTTTGTGATCCTTATCCTTAACCTGATCAATAATGAAGCTATTTTGCTTTTTCTAAAACCTGTGACTAGTTGTAAAATCTGCAACAATCTACAACAATCAAAGCTCCATTAATCTTAATGTACGTATTCATTGATGAGTCTGTATTATGGTATTTTCTTGTGTTGGTATTGCAAAGACTGTCCTGATGTTGAGAGTGTCTTGCATGTTTGTGTCCAACAGCGTTGTGAGCCTAAGACTAACTTCCCTTTGGGGAATTTGAATCTTGAACCTTGAATTATATCAGGTTTATTCTCCCACAAGTAGAAAATCTGTCTTGGGCTTTTCACCCATGCTGTGTTAACATAGTGTACAACTGCTGAGTCTACAGTTAAACAATAAAGGAACATAATTAGGAAAACACAAAAAGTTGCCACTGCACATAATGATACAACTAAGTCTCATAAAATGTGATGGCTGAATATCATTTCAACTTTCTGATTGAAGGAGGCACTGAATTGTTTAAATCTGTTCAAGCAACATTGTGAAGCCTTGAACCTCCTCCCTGAACCAACTCTCCTGTTACTTATTCTACTAAATAATTGAAATGTTATTAGTTAAAAGAAGGACTAAGGGATATCTCAGTATCAGGAAATGGATTGTATCTTGAAGTTCTTGCAACAACAGCCTTATTGTGTTTTAAGTGTTGGTTGAAGAGCTGTTTATAATGAACAATAGACTTTTGTGATAATCGTCAAACAATACTATTTTAAAGACAGATTTTGATTTGTTTGTATATTTTTCCTTGTTTTGTGTGCATATCCTGTGTTTTTGCTTGAGTGTAGGTTACTGAGCAAAGGTGAATTAAAGGTGAACTAAAATAAGTAACAAAACGTACGCTGTGCAGGTGTCCTTTGCGTCAGTGGAGCGTCTTCTGCGTGATGTGAGCTGCCGGCTGACATTTTGAGGGATGGACATAGTGAGGATATAGGGAAGCTGCTCTGTCATAGTCTGTAATATTTGCTGGTCTCCTCTCCCCTTGTGGACCCCAGAAATGTCAAACATGAATTGGTTGTCCACACTGGCATGGTCACACTCACAGAAGACTCGGACTTGAAAACTCTGCTGGTCCTTCTCTGCAGCACAAAAATCAACAGGTTAAAGGTCCAGTTTGTAGAGGGAGGTTTTGAAATATTCATGTCATTATTTCGCCTTGAAGTAGAGGTTAAGCATGTAAGTTATGACTCTAAGCATTTCAATGAATTAATGATGACAATGTTTATCCTAATGAAAGAGTGATGTTTCCTCTCAAAACATATTTTACTTAGAGCTATTTTACTTAAAGCATAATACATGGTGTTTGTCCCAATGGAAAGAGTCTTGTAAAAGTTCTAAAAAGTGAGCATTTCATTTTTCTATGAATAATAATAGTAATAATAGTAATAATACATCGTAATTATATTGCGCTTTTTTGGACACTCAAAGACGCTTATACTTTTTCTTACTAGTGGGTCACACAGTTTTTTTCTCTTTTCTGTCAGAATAAACTGATTTAAAAAGGTGTCAAAGGCCAAAAATGCATGCATGTGAAAACTAGCAATAGAACCAAGCTGTTTCAGAGCCCAGAATGATGGGCAATGTTTTTTAAATTGAAAGTTAGGTACCCCAACTCTACATTACAGTGCTATTCCATATAATTAGTCTCACCTGAGGGTTTCAACCAGGTCTGAAGAGTCTTAGTGACGTCAAAAGAGACCCACGAGTCTTTCATTTCGTTGGTGATGAATCGAGACGCCAGGTATCGCGCAGAGGGGCCAACGCCTTGGTACAGCTCCACACGCTGCTCCAAGGGGATCCTCGGATTTTTGATGAATATCCGCAGCTCGGCCGTGGTGAGCCGCCAGGGGTCCCCCACACTCGTCCGTATGTCTGCCATGCTGAAGTTCATGGACACACTTTTGGATTTGGTCGCCGTGTCATTTTCATTGGCTGTCAATAAAGAACATGAGGAATTGTAAATGGCATTATTTTCTTAGACTGTATGCATTACAATTGTCAACCTCTAGTTCAAGGAAGTATAATAGGGAAGTGCTCATTTTAAGTAAGTAAGTAATCTTTATTTATATATATATATATAGCACCTTTCACTGACCAGAAACACACAGCGCTTTTCAATTGTTGTGGGCATTGGCTCCATTCACTTTAATGGAAAAGAAAAAGTCTCTCACTCTGTAACCATTCGTGTCATACTCCCCATTTTGGCTTAAATAGACTCTGATCCTGGTGTTTTTTATATTTTTAATGTCTTCTGCAGCCTATATCTCGAAAATTGGTATAGGTTAGTGAGTAACGTGAGCGGAACTGGCTCCTTGTTTGCTGGGTCGTTGCTATCTGAAAATTTGGCCCCAGATTCTCACCCATAGAGCTTGCTTGATTTAGCTCTAACCATTAAACAACTCCTTCTATGATTATTTCTTTGATACAAGGAAGTCAGGTGCTCTTGCAAATATTAAAGTCATTCTTCATGGTTTAATGTATTATATATATATTTTTTTCATGATTAGAAAAGTTAACCATATTTGTCGTACAAATCATCACCGCCCATAAATGAAGACAATGATCAGATGTTTGTGCTCAAAAGTGCTGTATGTAGAAAGAGACATTGCCGTCTGCTACTTTTCAAACTGTGAGGTATGAGTGAAACCTTTTGGAGACAAGCACTGGTTAGACTCACCCATTCGCCCACATACATGTTTTATGGACATTTACAAACATTTATGGACATTCTGCCATAAATATTATTAAATGGACTATGGACTAATGGCTTCTATATGTTAGTTATTGCATTTCTTGTGTTTGAACAGTTTGAATCTCGGATCTGTTGTTGAGGAATCGACAATGTTGTAAAGTCCTCTGAGGCGACTTCTGTTGTAATTTAGGGTGATACAAAAATAAATGCAATTTAATTGAATATAACACATTCCAAATGGGTCAAAAGAGATGTAAATCCTTGAGGCCTCTTGTCATTAGTTTAACAACATTGGTAAACTACTAAAGTTTACTAATTGTAGTTTTGCCAAGGGAAGAAACTATTTTAATGAAATTTTTGTAAAATAATTAGACATTATGACATAACAGTCTCATAGTCTACATTATCTAAAATAACAAATGTAATTTACTAATTTTTAAAACACGTACGGAAATCTGTCTGTTCATTACATCGCTTTTTATGATCACTGTTTAAAAATTACAACCCATGATTGTTAATTGTTCGAAACAGTCTAAATGTTTACAGGAGCACATGATTGCACATGTTTGTTAAACATAATGAGCCACATTCTCTCGCCAACCTCTGCATGATTCTTGTATGGGCGGTTATCTCGGCCATAAAGTGGTTATACTGTAATAAGGCTTGATTTCTCAGTTTGACCATATCTTGACAGCGAGAACATTCCTTTTGCAAAGTTTGATGAAAACCAGAGCCAAGTGAAGGCTTAACATCCATAAATCTACCATTAAATCTTCCATTTCAATATTAAGAAGGATTAAGTGCAATAAGCTAAGTGCAGGAGAACCTGTGAAGCGAGAAAACAAGAGCCAATCCAAAGAAAACATAAAAAATTGCTCTCGTGTGTGGGGTGGAAGGGGGGGTGGGGGTGAGGAGAAATTGGAGATCGGGGTGTGAAGAGCCCAAGACTTTTCACTGTGTCCCAGCTTGTCAACACCACATACTCCGTACGCTAATCCAGGAATTACTAACTGAGTGATAGTGCTTGAATCTAATGCATTCTTGTTCTGTCGACTCAGGCCAAGACCGTACCAGGATCCTCCACCTCCCAGCTGCCTCTATCATTTATGAGCCTGACCATCTGTGAATAACTACTGTATGTATCTCTACTTGTAACACAACGGACACAGAAATGGAATGAGCAACGGGAGATGAAATGACATTTTACTGGTTACACCCATGAAGAAGAAAGTGAAGTTAAACGCACTAAGCGGCACGGTGACTGATGCATCAAAGAGGTCAAGCTCTGTGTGAGTTTGAATAACTATAAAAATGTGTTAAGGGTTAGAGAAGTGCTTGCAAAACAGGAAATAAGATCACTTCCCTTAGAAGTACTTTGGCTGCAGTGAGGCCGATTTAAATTCAGATTCAGTTTATTTGTCATTTACATTTAGAAGCCACAAGTAAAAATACCCAGTGTGCACAATAGACAGAAAAAAACTATTGAAAAACCAAACTTAGTACATGCAATAATATACACTTTTCAAAACAGTAAAAAGGTTTGTTATCCCTGAAGATTCTATTATTCAGGTCTTATATGTTGGATTGACTATAAGGCCATTTTTTACAGTTTTCTGTCCCGTTGATATTGAGCAATGGCGTGTTATGAATTTTTTTATTAACCCAATATAATTCTATAGAGCGTATAGTATAGAGTGTATTTCTGTTCATTTTACAACAATAATATGTTATTGTAAAATGGTTGTTTGTGGCCAGTTAACTACAAAATAGATACTATAGTTTCCTTACTCAAAAGTACATTTGTCATACAATAAGAGCTTCAATAAGAGAATTTGTTTTCACCTTCCCATCATCTGCCACTTTTCTCCTGAATTTCTCCAAATGAGGAATCAATACACTGCAGTAAATACCTATATAACTTGTGGCCCGAGGGCTAAGTCAGGCTCTCCAAGCAATCTGATCTGGCCCACTTTCCATCTCTCTAAATATAAAGAAAATAAAGATATTTTTAACAAATACAGTTCTTTGACTGTATCTGAAGGAGGAGGTTGTATTTATATTTTGTACACATTTTGTATATGACATAATCCTAACCCTAACCCTTTTCATGATTATTTTTCTTAATAAGGCATAAGGAAATGGGAAAACACTCAAACTCCAAAAGCACCATCTCCTATAAAATATTGAGGACACAGACTGAAGGACTAAGATTATAGAGATAACTGGTCTGATTCTGAGCTGACAAAATTAAATGTCTAAAGTTTGACTCTTCTTTGCACATATATGTTTATGTAATGTCCTATATTGGTCCAAAGTGGTGCAATTTCTGGGCTGGATAAACAGTGCGAGGTAAGGATAGACTGCTGTGCACTATCTTGGGTGTGGAGGGATTTGTGTTGTCGAATCAGGGCCTATGGCAGGTAAGCCCAGGACAGCTGTTGTGGCAGGTACGGCGTTAGCTCTGTAATTACCCGAGGGAGGATCCAGATTCCTGCACCAGGCTAAATAGCGGCCTCCTTGATACGCTCGACTCCACCTTACAGCCCACTCATCGATCACTGGATTTATTATAGCTTTTACGTGTAATAGTTACTGCTGTTAGCTGCTTAAATGAAAATCTTTGAGCGATTAACTTAATTGGAGCTAATATCCTGTTGAGGAAGAACATCCCTTTGACTATGATGGAACAGGAATGTAATCCACCACACAATTATAATGATGGACTAATGCTAATAAAGAGCTTTCCACAGATATGCACCGCCCTAGGGCGCATCGAGATTTTACAAGGGAAACGCTTTGAGAACACACAAATCCAACACTTCCATTAAAAGATTAACTTTGTATATTACTACATAGGGGTGGGGAAGATGCAACAGGACATTAAGAGGCCAGAACTCTGAAAAAAGAGATTCAGTGCTGCTATATGCAGTCTGTATATAAAATATATTGTGTTGTGATAAATAGATCTCACTTCTACTATTTAAACATTCATGTTCTTTAGAAAGACAAAGAGCAAACTAAACCGAATCAGAGACAAAACTCAAGTAGTTACTGCATTACCAGAAAGAGTGTGTGACGTCTAACTAAATACTCGTTTTTAATTTGTTTAAACAAGAAACTGAAACTCTAACTTGCTGCCTGCCCTAGAATAGCAAATAGCCATCGGACTGGGCTGGGTGTTTCTGGCATTTCCACACAGTAAGGAAGCACATGCTTCCCATGGGCATCACTATCAGTCAGCTTTCCTTCCTGTTGAGCAGGCCTGCCACAAACATGCGATGTCTATAACAACCAAACAACAGAGACATTAAATTAATGTGACGCGTATAAGCCAGATCATGGGCATGGTTGGTATGAGGGCCTATTGAGAACAAGTGACCAGGTTCATATGGGAGAATCCAAAGCTCAAGTTACAGGAAAACCCCATTTCCCTGAGGGTGCGAGGCCGAAGGCCCAGCAGGGCGAGAGTGAAGGAGTTATTCACGTTTTCTCTCATCTGATCTTTGTTTAGCTGCTCGTCCTTTGGTTTTCATCTGAGCAGAACCAAATCCTGCCACTTATTTTGAAAGCACCTTTGTTCTTTCCTGTGCTGCTGATTCCTAGTAATGGTCCATCCTCTCACATCTCTTTTGAAGTGGTGGATAAGACACGGATAGTGTGAACGCCTGCCTCCTGGGGAGCAGTATGGGCATGTAGAGAACAATTGAGCAAAGAAAGAGTGAAAAAGATATGTTTACCGTCAAAGTCCTCACACACAATTACTGCCATATTTTCTGTTGGCTGAACAAGTATGTGCTCTCGCCAGGAGTGATGTTAATAAGCAGTAAAAATGCCACAGATATAACGAAACCCATTCAAATCTTCGGCCCAGATGTAACAAACTAACCCGGCTAACTTGTAGCGCCTGTGAACTCTGCACTCTGGATCCTGCCTCCAGATATTGGGATGAGAAACAATAAACGTGTTTTAGACATTTGGCTCTGTTTAAAAGGGCCAGGGATTACTCATTTGGGCAAGAGCAGTTTCAAATAAAGTTTATATAAATGCCATTTACTATCAACATGGTTTGTTCATATTTTAACAAGGTTTCTCACGATGTATCATGACTTTGAATCACTTTCAATAGAGTATTGTTCATTAGCAAATCGTCACTACTCATTTATGGAGACGTTTTAGCAAAGTTTTTGTGTAACACTTTCAAGTAGTTCCGTTGTTTGTGAACAATTTTTATTTTATTTTTTTGGCATAATTTAACATATTTTTGTCATTGCCCAAACAAATTTAGGGCCTGGACATTAGATTATAATTTCCCTTGGACTTTCCAGGTTTTCTTGTTCATTCTTGGAAGTATCACAAACATAGACATCATGATAATATCATTACATTCACTTTCAATTATCTCATAAAATGCAAAACGTCTTTGTCACAAGATGAATTTGGCTATTTTTGTCTACTGAGAAAATTGTAAACATACTGATTCTGTGTAACGCTTTTGACAATAAAATATTTAGCAAAATTTTCGAATAATTTGATTTAGTCCTCGTCCAATTGTTTCTGTATAACATCACTTTTGATTCTAGTATTAGTATCTAAATTCATTTTGAGATTCATTCTTACTGTTTTACTTAATAGTGGCAAACCTGAGCACTCACCAGTCATGTTGAACTTGTGCAGCACCTTGGCGAAGTACTCCTCCTCCTCTTGCTCCATGAACACGTCTGTGGGCGCCTGCTCCTGCTGCTGCTTCAGCAGGTCAGTGGTGCTATTGTACAGGGACAGCAGGGAGTTGGGGATCTCATCGTCCTCTTCAGTCTGCTCTGCTTCTGGCTCTTTGGGCAGACGCAGTTTACTCAGAATCTGACTCCTGATGGCCTCAATGCGTTTCTTTCGAACCATCTCCAAGTCTAAAGTCTTACATGTCGACATAGAATTTACTTTTCCTATAACGCACACTGCGGTGAGGATCATGAAGAAGACCCTCATGGTGCCGGCACGACGAAACACACACCAAATGACTCTTTTATTCTTTCTCAGCCACTGCCCCCTTCAACATAGAATGCTTAGGGAACAGTGAATCACCAAAGAAGGAGGTGTTACTGACGCAAGGTGTTTACATATAGAAGGATTGTCAAAGTGCTGTGGAGAGTCCCAAAATGCTCATTGACCCAGGTCAGCAAAATGTGGCAATGTTGTCCGCTGTATAAATACTTCCTCTCTCTTCATCGCATTGGAACAGGTGCAAGAGGTCCTCAGAATGGACAGACTTCAAGTGATGAGCCAGTTTGTGACTCAGCCTCGCAAGTGAAAGAAGTGACGTCCCAGACAGTGAAGCATGCCCAGCCGAGCTGTCAAACATTACTACAAGGCCTTAATGCCATATTGTGCAATGAGAGCATAGTCTTCTCTAAATCATTATTTATTCTCTTTCCAGACAGAATTAACCCAGCAGAAGAAAGTCAGACGTCGCTCAACAATATGAATCTCTCTCAGGTTTCTCAGATGACCTCTTGCTCCTTTCAGGTCAGATAAACTTCTCAGAGGATTTGAATTAACTTAGAGGCGATCAAATTGCCACAAGAAAGAATCGTATCATATCACTTTCAACTGCAGTCACACTACACTGTTATTAAGACTAGTGCCCTGTCCCCGTACACTACCTCTTTTTTTTGCACTACAGCGTGTGATCTGCTGAATTTACAAAGGATTTTTAAAATTTGATTTGGAGGGAATCTCAATCAAGTCTCAGCTTTTTCGATTGCCTTTTATGGCAAATCAAATCTCAGAGTTCTTTCTCACAAGTTTCACACTTTCAACTTATCTTGAGTTTTTCCAGAGCTCAGCAGCAGTAGCAGTCCCAGTCAGCTCGCACTTGCCTGGGTCAGTGCCCTGTGTCCATGGATGTCTCTGAGGTGTACTCTCCTCCACAGATCCTTCCTCGTATGAAGCTCCTCGCTCTGCTCCGCCGTCTTTAACTCCCTCACTGCCTGTCTCTCCCAGAGCTTGTCAGTGCTTGTTGGTGACAAAGTGATTTGTGGGCGCTATAGGCTGAGATAACTTTTCCTTTACACTCTCTCGCTCTTCCCCCTGTCTTCCTCCCTCCCCCTAACTCCTCTCTGGTTCCTGTTACTGCTATAATAGTGAGGGGAGCTCTCTCCGCCCAGGAAATGAGGGTAACGGCCGTTGTGTAAAACATCTGCAGTTTAAGACAGATCTGTTCTGCTTCTGTCTGAATCAGGAAGCACCGTTTCTCTGATGGTCCCAAGAAGTCAAACAGATTTAGAAAATTAAAGCAAATCCAAATAGGTCACTTGTTTAATTTAGGCATTGAATTAATATATTTTTCAAAGTTCACAAACTTTTCCAGGGCTAGGACATTTGTAATTAAAATGTGACATTCATTTGTTAAAGCACATATCTCTGTATTTGCTGATATTGTTAAAACAGAGGTGATTGGTTACTTTTTGTGTACTGTACTTAACATTATCACTATAGAGCCATCCATAATATGCTAAAAACCCTTAAACAATTACATGTTTCCAAAAATTTCAAACTTGCTGCATTATTGCTGCAAATAACGGTATGTGTTTTGTGTTTTGTCTTGTATTGCAAATGTAGCAGACCCATGAACTAGACAGAGTCAAATTTTCTCCTAAAGGAGAAACGTAAAGACAAATCTTGAATCTTGAATATTATAACATGATACAACTTAAGACAAAAATATACAAAAAATATAGTTGTCATGTGATTCTAACCATACTGGAAAATATGAAAACTTAACTGTGCACAGGCTTGCATCTCCAGAAACCTGACTCGTACTTCGGCCCCCTGCATGTTTCCAGCATGGTGGTTTCCAGGGAAATGTTTATATTTTTGTTTATAGTGTATATATTGGATCCATATGGTCTATTATGTTGTCTAACTGTTTGATTGTTCTGCCTGCCTTTGGACTGTGGATGCACAGGTGCTGTCATAAAAAAATTAATGAACTAAACCAAACCAAAACAATCAAGATAGGTTGTGAAATAATAGCCTAGGTTACAGTTCACAGCAGTCCCATCCTCACCTCTCCTCATGGTTCTCGGAGGTCCGCAGCGCCATCTGGCGGCCATATGCTGAAAGCGTTCATAAAGAAGATGATACTGATGTTACTGCCTGAATATATCGTTATCGGCTTTGGGAACACACATTAGTTACAACAGTGTAAACAATGACGTAAAACATCGTGATGATATGTTTCTTTAGTAAATCAAATAAAAACCACATTGGAAGATTAATATGGAGATAAATGACTACATCTTTTTCAAGTCAAATACGAGTCTATAGTGTGTGTAAAGATGCATTCAACTTACAGTGAGAACCCAAAAATAGGCCATGATTTTTGGTTTGTTTGTTTACCTTTACCTTTTTAATTGCAGCACAATGAAGATCCTACCGCCCACATGCGCCTCATGGATATGACATGATCCCCTCCTCTACACCTGCAGCCCCCGTCTACACCTGCACCCCCACCTCCCTGGAAACCACGCAAGTTTACACCGGAGCGTCTTGAAACCAGCGTAAAGGCTTTGGAGAATTCCCCCTCACATTACGCGCTCGGGCAGCTGGGTCTGAGCTCTCTGGTCTTTTCTCCCTGTGGTCAGAGGCAGAGGGCAGGGCAGCGGACGCACGCGACCTGATTTTTGGACCCTGGGCTTATGTGGACAGACGCAAACTTGTGGAACATGAAACACAGCATAAAGGATGAGGAGTGAATGTTTTTCGATGGTGCGTAATACCTGGAGAGCATCTTGGAAACTGGCGCCGCACCGGGCGAGGAAAGCGCACTAAAAAGTAGGTGAACATAATACATTTTACTCTCAACAGTCATACGGTCTTATTCTGCATATACATAGATATAACCCATTGCGTTTAAATAGAACTGTAATTATTAATCAATATTGATCTATTCATACTTTGATCATATTTTCGTTGGACATTGTCTCCTGCGGCTTCACTTCAACTTTTTAAATTATTATTGATCGAGGGAATAATCACGACATTGATTATCTAAATAATCAATTACAGTGCATGTTTATGTATTTTTAAGAACACCTGTATAGCACCAGCTAAATTTGAAAAAAAAAAGTAATATTTTGTCTACATATTCTGCCCTTCAACATCAGCCACAGGTTTTCATGTTGTTATGTAATACAACAGCTGATGGAGCAAAACAAAGTGATACAGGACTTTTATGAATAGGTGTTTTCACTTTGACTATAAACTTGCTTCCTATCTCAACTAGTAATTAATGGACTCAAAAGAATGTAACAAGATTTTTTATTTATGGAAAAAAAAAAAAAAAACTGGGATATTCTAATGACACATTGGCCGCATAGCTGAAACGGGTGCTGAGGTTCAAAGAAACTGGAAATAGTACTGGATTGCTTAGTCCAGCAAGTACTGCAGCCCTACATTCAATACTAAATATATTTAGTGTGTTTTCAAAGCATGATTTGCCATTTAGGATGAATTGAATTTGAGACTTTTCCAGTAGATTTTTATTGTGGTTCCTCTCATGTTTTTACATTTCAAATGTATAAATATATCTCAATTAATTCATTATAATTATCCCCAAAGTATTAAAGCACATGACTTTCTGAAGGTGGAATAAAATATTTAAAAAAAAAACAGTTAAAACCATACAATTTAACTTTATTTTAAATGTGTAATCTTTTAAATATTTAAAGATACAAAATATCCTATTGTAAACATAGGAGAGAGCCAGATACAAGTAATATTCATGGAACACATTATTATACTTTTGTAGTTATGATATTATAAGAGGGCTGAAGTATAAAGTGGCAGAAGTATAAATTGACGATTGTAAAGGATCAGTCTCCAGTGATAAGTTATGAAGTATTTTTCAGGTAAAAAGTAACTCACTTTGGTTTGTATTGTCGTCAAAGGGATGTCACTTTCACCTAAACTAAATTCTAATTAACATGGCCCACTACCGAATCTTTAAAGCTGATGTTGCGTTTTCCCTTTGCCAGGTGAGAATGGAGAAGTATGAGAAGCTTGCCAAAATCGGTGAGGGCTCCTACGGTGTGGTCTTCAAATGCAGACACAGAGACACCGGTCAGATCGTTGCCATCAAGAAGTTTGTGGAATCAGAAGACGATCCGGTCATTAAAAAGATTGCATTGAGAGAAATACGCATGCTAAAGGTAAGTTTGTGTGAGTGTTAGTTTGTTCTGTGTCGCACGTGTAGGAAGCAGTGTCATATTTTGTAAATGTTTGTGCTTTTTTCTTTGCAGCAGTTAAAACACGTGAACCTGGTGAATCTGCTGGAGGTGTTCAGGAGGAAGCGACGGCTGCATTTGGTCTTTGAGTTTTGTGAACAGACCGTCCTCAATGAGCTGGACAAGCACCCCCGTGGGTAAGTTTAACGGTTTGACTGTGCCGCAAATAGGTGAGTGATTATCAAGACGTTTGAAGTTAAAGAGTGACTTTCAATTCGTTGAAAACTGCAGTATACACGATTGAATACATTTGAAAAGACCTGTAATCATATATTGTTTATTTGGCTTATTCGCACATTTTTTTGGATTTAAGGACATTTGACAGGTTTACATGATTATATGATGATGTAAATGTCATATTTTTTTTATTTTTTATTAAACCATTTGCAATTAAAATATGAATTATTGTTTTACACAGATGAATCCATTGCATAGAAAGAAACTTTTGTAAATACTTTCTTTAGAGCTGAGTTCTTTACTTTGTGATAATGGGAGATTGACAATTCAACATTTATACATAATTGACACAAACAAATATTTTTACATATATACAATTTTTTTGAGAAGAAGTTTTAGAAGAAATAGACAATATCAACAAATTTAGGGACATTTTGATGAATATGATGTGAAACAGAAAAAAGAGGGAGGGGGGGGTGAAACTGTATATGAGATAAAGGACTACTCTAACAGAAATGAATGAAAAAAAGATGCTGAAAAATATAATGGGAAGAATTTGTGGGAAGCCAGGTCACTGTATGGAAAGTGTCATGGATTTGATTCAGGAACTCATAATTTTGGGGGATAAAAATGATTTATGTGAAAACTATAGTCTACTGCTTCCCAGGGGAGCCTAATTGTCACTGAAACAGTTGAGCTTTATATAAAATGTACAAATGTTTGGTTAGAAATCCAATACAAATGATGGACTACTGGAGCACTATAGTAAGTGCAAATACGACATTTAAATCAAATCAAATATAAATTGCTAATGAGGAGCCTTTCCCAGCAGAGGAGAAACCCATTTACAAAGTGCAGCTTCGTCTTTCCTTGCAAATGTCACTGTGAGCTGTCGCCTCTGCAGCCATTTTTCTTTTCCCAGTCGTCCGTACAACAGAAACTCTAGCTGCTCCCGAAAACAAAGGTACTGTTGCCGCTAGTGACGGGCCTATTGCCGCTAGTGACGGGCCTAAGGTTACCCATGTGACCAGCCACGGGAGCAAACATCTTCTTCTTTTAAAACACCCGGATAATGGAGCTGACCTGACGTGACAGGACTAAACATGTCATTGTTTTGATGCACAGTTATAGATTTAGCTTTTCTTCTGCCCAGAGTCCCTGAAGCCCAGCTCAAGAGTATAGTATGGCAAACTCTCCAGGCTGTCAACTTCTGCCACAAACACAATGTATGTATTCCATTCTATACTTATTTACTTATTCATTGGACAAAAATATGCACAAAGAATAACCTGTAGTGTTTCTGTTACAAAAGATTATTTGACAATGTCAGTTATGGCATCTTGTTCAAGGGACAGCAATGAAGACAAACTGAAGATGTTTTCTTTAGTAATGTTTTCTTACATAGATGAAATTCACCCAACAATCCTCAGAGTAGACTGTCCAAAAATTATTTTATTTTTTACTTTTTCTTTAAATGTTTTCAACCAAAGCATCTGATATTGAGCTTGGGATTGTGATGTAACATAACCAAGACATTTTTCTTCCCCTAAAGATTTTTTATTATCATCAATCAATTACCGCACTTAGCAGTCATATTCAGTGTATAAAAAATCTTACACCCTTGACACTATGGGTAATTGACACGTATCCATAGATAAAGATCCTGTAACCAAATTGACCTAAACAAATTTAACTGACTGCTTGGGACGTAGTCACCCAGCACTACCAACTCTTTCATTGATTATTATTTTCTTGCTAATGTAACTATACAAACTTCTCATCTTGGAGCAAGCAGAAATTGGTTGAAGTTAAAATTAATGCTGGTTATTACTATATAGAATTTGTGAAATTCTGTGTTAGTCATAGTTTAAATCTGATTGGTGATAGTCTAGTGAAGTCCTAGTTTAATAAGGGTCCAGTATTGGTTTGTATCAGCAATGTTCTTTGAGCTTGTATACCTTTTTTCCACTCAAAATATAGCGGATGATTTTATAGGATATTTGCAATAGTCTGTGTGACACAAAACCAAAATATCCGGCACAGAGGGTTTGCCCCTGTGAAAATCCCATTTCCCTGGATAATCACATTGAATTGCTTTGATAGAAAGTCTAATCATTTCGTGTTCTTTCTTCACAGTGCATCCACCGCGACGTTAAACCAGAGAACATTCTCCTGACCAAAACCGGCGTGATAAAACTGTGTGACTTTGGCTTCGCCAGGATCCTGAGTGGGTCACACACAAAGTCTGTGCATTTATCAGCATTTAGTGTTAATGTGCCTCTGATGACTTATTTAGTTATCCCAGCTGCTGCGCCTCCTCACTTTCAGTAGAGGAGCATTGAGCCAGTCAGTGCTTCTGTGTGTGGCGTGTCTCTGTTTACCCATACTGCCTTGGGTTTCAGTGTTATGTTTCCATACCTTAACATCAAGTCATTCACTGAACCTTGTAATCCCTTTCTCTACAATGTACCTGCTGTTTAGTGTCCATTATTCAGTATTCCCTGGTTTTCTCTTTGTGAAGCCGGACCGGAGGATGACTACACAGACTATGTGGCGACCCGCTGGTATCGGGCCCCGGAGCTGCTGGTGGGGGACACTCAGTATGGTCCGGCGGTGGATGTTTGGGCCCTGGGCTGTGTCTTTGCTGAGCTGCTCAACGGGAATCCTCTCTGGCCTGGGAAGTCTGACGTCGACCAGCTTTACCTGATCCAAAAGACGCTAGGTATGAACTAGCCTGGCCTTAGCCATCCGTACACTCCGCTCAATCATCATTTCACTGCATGTAACGTCTGGGTCCGGTCCCTGTGTTTGCGATTACAATCGGTTGAATTTTGACCAACCAACCAGCGAGCGCGGAAGGAGAGTGTTGTATTTATTTGTGGGTGACGTCAAGAGTTTGCGTCGAACGGGAAGGTTGTACTTTGGCCATGGCGAAAAATGCGATCGTAAAGTAATCCGGTCTGGTTCTACCAAGAAATTGAAGCCAGAGCAATAGAAATGTTTAGCAAATGTAATCGCTAGAAGACATTTTGGCGATACTCCCCACGGGCTCCGTTAGCAGCAAAGGAGATGGCTAGGCTAAATGCTAACAACAGACTCGGGCGCATTACATACGTCACAGCAAACTCAGATCCAATCGTTTCAATCTGCAAAAGGAGTTAACCCCTCCTATCTGTAAACGGAGCTCAGTGGAGCACCTCCAGATCTTAGTCCGAAATGTCATTTATACTATGGTGTGGTACGACCAGGCTAGGTATGAACATACCATTCAGATTCAAACAACTGTATTTATCCCACCAGGGGAAATTTGTTTAATGGACCTCAATCAATCATGAGATATAATCACTATTTCTATATTATATATATATATATATATATATATATATATATATATATATATATAATCTATCTTTGGTGTTCTTCACATTCTTCCTACTGATAAATTCATAATAAATAGGCCATAATATACCTGATTTTGCAGGTTTTTAATTTCAAGAGGACATATTGCGCTTTGGTCAACTGTTCCATAATCCATAAATAATGATTATGTACTAGTTTTATATTGCGGTTTTCTAGACACTCATTTACTGCACACATGATGGTAATAAGATACAATAATAAGGTAAGGTAAGGTAATAATAACTGTTACTATTGTAGACATAGCTGCCATGGGACAGACTGGCCGAAAGAGGCTGGCCCCTCCGATCACCATTAATATTCACGCACACACCAAACTCATCCTAAGCACTGTGGGTGTGTCTTGCCAAAAGACACAATGACAGTTTGGCACATCACAGCCGCAGCCTCCCCACAGGTGTATTCAGAGGTCTCCCATCACAGTACTATCAAGGCCCTATGCCTGCTTAGCTGACATCTGACATAATATGAAACCCCTAACCCAAAGATGTTCACATTATAAGTTCCCAAAAAGTATTTAAAAAAAACACTCAACATGCAGATTGATGCCACGTCATGAAACATATTAAACCATTGTCTTGTTCGACACCAGGTGACCTGATCCCCCGACACCAGCAGGTGTTCCGGTCCAATGTTTTCTTCAATGGAGTCAGCATTCCGGAACCAGACACTACGGTAATTGTTTGAAAACTGTGGTGGACATTACAAATAACATCATTTATTCATATTTGTCTGTGGACCTCAGGAGCCCCTGGAAAAGCGCTTCAGTGGTGTTTCTGCGAGTGCCCTTCAGGTTATGAAGGTGTGTAACCCGGAAATTCATATTCATGTTTTCTTCTACTCTACTCTGTATTCTGTATTAGTCAAGGCTTGGTTTTGTTCTGGCTTTATAAGTTGTCATCTATAACATTTCACAAAACTATATGACCAATTTGATTTCAGCTTCATGCCAAACAACCATAGCACATTGTTCATTGATGAATTTGTGTGTATGTGTGCCTATGTGTGCGCCTGTGTGCCTGTGTGTACGCCTGTGTGTGCGCCTGTGTTCCTGTGTGTACGCCTGTGTGTGCGCCTGTGTTCCTGTGTGTGCGCCTGTGTTCCTGTGTGTGTGCCTGTGTGTGCGCTTGTGTGTGTGTGCGCGCGCCTGTACGTGTGTGTGTGTGTGTGCGCCTGTGTGCATGTGTATGTGCGCCTGTGCGTCTGTGTCCAGTCGTGTCTGGTGATGGACCCCTCTCTCCGCCGCTCGTGTGAGGAGATCCTGGAGCTGCCGTACTTCCAGGAGGACGGAGTGAACTGGACCCGGGACACGGAGCGCCCGGGGAGACGCCACGACAAGGGCTCCAGGCGCCGACAGGCCGGAGTGAGTGTCTAATTCATGTCTGACCGTGCAACCTGAATCAAAATCATATACTCACAATTAGTACGATTGAAGCACAATTCATACGCACAACAACTCACAGTGCTTTGCATAACAAGAGAAGAAACATTAACATAAATAATTACAATACAAATTTTGAAAGAAGAGTGCCGATAAAAACATTTGTATGAATATCTGAACATCTAAAAGTAGTTCAGTAGAATAAAATGTGAATGCTGCACTAGGCAGAAACTCTTGACGGTCCATGTTTACATCCATATTGGAAAATTGCGAGACAACGTTTACTATGTCTGTTAAAAACCCTTGTGCTACCAAAAAGATACAAAAACAATGGTTAAGATCAGTTTTTTTAGTGTATTTTGTCAATTTGACCTGAGCCCAAGGGTTGAATGTCAAAACAATATTATCCTTTATATGCACAAATCAGTAAATATTGTAACGACTGTTATCCTGTGTCGCTGGAGAACGAGGGGAACGGGTCCTGTACCTTTATGACGCGCTGCTAATGTGGATGAATAACGCTACTCGTAACTGCGTTTTTAAGTGGCATTTAATCATCAGCTTTGAAGATTTAACACATAACACATTGGCCATACGTGTACGTGTACAAAACTTAACAAAAACAAACGGTCAACAAAGAAATACGGCTACCCAGATCCCTACGACTTCTCACCTGAACACCGGTGTCTGCCATATTTAAAGGTCCCGGCATATCCCCAGAGCTCACGTGACTCACGCACCTCCCCTGACGTTACCATAGCAACCCAACACATTATGGCTCTCACACACCAGCCCCTTAATTATTGCACAATAATTACCATCACAAAACCCAAAATCAAGAGAAATATCACAAAAAAATGTGTTACAAGAATATGAATCTCCAAAAAAAACGTTGGGGCCCAGTTACTGATGCGAACTGTCTCTAGGTAGCTTCGGCCTCCTGCAGGAGACACACCTTGGTAATTGGCCGATCCAAGCAACTGGTGCGTGTCTTAATCTTCACCTGGCGGACGAATCCCCTCTTGTCCGGGAAAGTTTGAATCACTCGACCCATCAGCCACGAGTTTTGAGGGGCGGTGTGATCCATAACAAGAACAAGATCTCCTTCAGTGAGGTTTCGTTTGGCTCCTGTCCATTTCTGACGTTCCTGTAGCTGGGGTAGATACTCCTTCACCCATCTTTTCCAAAACAAGTCGGAGATGTACTGGACCTGCTTCCATCTTCTGTGTGCATACATATCTGACTCCTCAAACACTCCTGGTGGCAGCGCTGGCGAAGTCTTCAGTAGCAACAGATGATTGGGTGTCAGAGACTCAAGGTCATTCACATCCATAGAAGCTTTAGTGATAGGACGGCCATTGAGAATTGCTTCTGCCTCACAGAGCACAGTCTGCAGACCTTCCTCATCAAGATTTTGTACTTTCAAGGTGGAATTGAGCACTTTTCGCACTGATCTAATGAGCCGCTCCCAGGCTCCACCATGATGAGAGCCAGATGGAGGATTAAAGCTCCATTTTATTCCCTTCTGCAGCATGACCTTATTGATCTGACTCAGATTCCATTTCTCAATAGCATTCTTCAGCTCCCGCTCTGCTCCTACGAAGTTAGTCCCATTGTCTGAGCGAAGTTCTCTAACTTGACCTCGTCGAGCCATGAAGCGCCTGAGAGCATTGATGAAAGAGTCTGTATCCAACGATTGTGCCACTTCAATGTGGATGGCTCTGATTCCTAGGCAGGTAAAAATGACACCATATCTCTTTACTACACTTCGTCTGCTCTTAACCTCAAACGGCCCAAAATATTCAACGCCCACACGAGTGAACGGAGGCTCATCTGGAATGATCCTCTCATGGGGTAAGTCTGCCATCTGCTGGGAAACTGGCCGTGCATGCAATCGCCGACAAACTACGCATCTTGAGAGCACCTTTCTTGTTGCAGTAGTCGCTCCAGTTATCCAATATCTCTCTCTCAACTTTGAGAGCATGTGGTTCCGACCACCATGTCCAACCTCCTTGTGTATTTGCCTCAAAAGCAGTTCGGACACATGGAGATCTTTTGACAATATAACTGGATGTTTCAACTCTGCCGGCATTTCAAGTCTGCCTAGCCGCCCACCAACCCTCAGGATACCTTCTACCAATTGTGGGTTGAGTTTACGGAGATGGCTGGATGAACTTACTGGCTGGCCTTTCTCCAAACTGAGTAGCTCTTTAAAAGCCATGCGCTGGCAATACTTTACGATAGAAAGCTCTGCCCTCTCCAAGTCTTCTGCAGTGAGACTGCGGGCCACAGTATTCTGCTTGAATCTTTTCATGTCTTTCTCCACATTAGACTCCTGCTCTTGTGTGAGTACAGATTGGGCAATGGCCCTACGTAACTGCCGCCTCTTCTCCACACAAGACCGCAACCAGCCCTTAATTTTCATGAGCCAAGCGACAGAGGTCTTTAATCTGGTCCAAGAAGAGAAATACTGGATCAAACGATAAAAAGGTTCTTCCACAGTGCACACAGCATTAATAAAAACTTTCTTCTTCACCTCTGGATCTTCGGGTGGAAGTTGACAAAGGCCTAGTGGACTGGCAGGCCATTCACTCATGGGCAGTAACAAAAATTCAGGGCCCGACAGCCACGTAGTATTTAAGTATTTGAGAGACCCGGTTTGCCACGAACACCTTGTACCGAGAAGTCTCATTCCGAATGTACTTAATGACTGATTCACTGTCCGTCCAAAACACTGAGTTCAACAGCTCCATCTTTAGTTCTTTTCTCCAAAGCACATCCATTCTACTCGCCATAGTTGCTGCTATGAGCTCCATACGTGGAATGGAAACAAGTTTCAGAGGGGCCACACGAGCCTTTCCCATTAGAAATGCAGAGTAGCGTTCTGAATTGCAGTTTGACACAAGATAAGTTACTGTTCCATATCCATTCTCACTTGCGTCGCAGAAATGGTGCAACTGGGCAGTACAGACTGTTTGAAAATGTGGGGGCTTCAAGCACCTTCTCACTTTGTAACTGTCCAGAAGCTGGAGCTGATGGATGAGTTTCCACCAACGCTTTGCAATCGAATCTGGAACTGTGTCATCCCAGCCCACTTCCTTTCTGCAGAGATCTCTCAAGATAATCTTGGCTGTCAAGATCACAGGGCTCAGCATCCCAAGAGGGTCGTATATGGAGGCAACTGTTGAAAGCATACCTCTTCTGGTGAGTGGTTGCTCCTTCACTTTAACTCTAAATTGAAATACGTCAGAGTTAATCGACCATTCCACTCCCAGGACTCTTTCCACAGGCTCGGCATCCAGCTCCATTGTTTCCTTGCCCTTGGCCCTATGCTCTTCAGGGATAACTTTCAGCACTTCTGGTCGGTTACTCATCCACTTAGTAAGTGAAAACCCTCCTTTTGAGCATAGACTGCTTAGCTCATGGTACAGTGATAACGCCTCCTTCTCTGTGGCCATCGACACCAGGCAATCATCTACATAAAAACTGTCATGTAGCCTCTGTACAGCTTCCTTACTATAGCGATGCCCAAAGTCTTCCGCACACCTTCTCAGGGCATAGTTTGCGCAGCTGGGCGATGATATGGCACTCTCTGGGAAATCATTTTTGTACTGTTGCTGCCATAACTCCTCTAAGTTCACAACAGAGACTCTGTTCACCATTACTTTTGGCCGACCCGACTCAATGGCCTCTTTGCTACCCTCTCCTGGCGGTCCATTTACCGTCCATCCCAGCAATGTCCTGGTAGCAAATGGTCCACCATTTATGCTACATATCACCTCTAATGGTTCCAGGGCCTTCGGTACATTGGTCCCAATAAGAAGCTCTATTCCTGCGTCAATACTGGGTAAATGGACGTGCTTCAAGTGTGGCCATTTCTTGATATCCTGTTGTGTAGGGATGTTTTCCTTGTAAACTGGCATGGACTCTTGAGTGTATGCTCTTGGCAGCTCCAAAAATATGTCTCCATGTAGCGCAGCAACCTCCAATCCAGACACAATGTTGCTACTCACAACCTTCTCCTGCCCCATAGTCCGAAGAAGAATGTTTCCTTTCCTTCCCGTCAGATTCAACTTGTTCTTCAATGATTCTGTGCAAAATACAGCTGTGCTCCCCTGATCCAGAAAAGCGTATGTGGTCACAACTTTATTTCCCTTTGTGATTTCACCATTACTGGGACGATTGGGAGTTTACAGTCTTGGTCGCCAGCCCCTGTAAGGCCACTTGAAACTAGAGTTTTGCCCACATGAAGCCCTTTGCTCCCCTCAGCTGGGTCTGCACCACGCTCTTTGTGGAGAATAGTTGGATGCTTTAGGTTACACTTGGTGCAGGAAATCCTTTGGCGACAGTATTTGCTTATATGTCCTTTACATAAGCAGCTGTAGCAAATGCCATTTCCCCTGAGGAATCCTATCTTTATTTCATGCACCATCCTTCCCAATTGCGTGCACGTGTCCAGTAAATGTCCTGCTCCACAATAGAGACAACATATTCTTTCTGGTGCTTTAGCTTCTTTCTCTTTATGCACAGACTGAGATCTCTGCTCCATGGGACATAGTGTGGTAGCAAAGCTGGCACCCTTTTGACGTGATTGAAACTTTGTATTGTTTGTTCCCCCATTCATTGGTGGGGGTTCATGTATACAGCCAAAGACGGGATCTGTCAGTATTTTTACTTGTTTTTCTGTAAAGTCTGCTATATCACTGAACTTAGCCCTTCTTTGTAATCGTTCTTGAAGGTCACAGACCTGACCTCTCCACTTGTCTTTGAGTTTGTATGGGAGCTTGCTTATAATGTTCAACATATTTGAAGGCATGTCCAAATCATGCAAATATTGAACTTCCTCCATCATATTGCAGCAGGATCGGAGCAATAAACTGTAATCCTGCAACGCTGTCACATCATCTGGCTTGATATTGGGCCATGACAGGACCCTGTTCATATAAGCTGCGGCAACCTTTTGCTCGTTTCCAAAATGCTCCTTTAATAAAACCTTTGCTTTTGCATATCCATAGTCAGGGTTCAGATGTTGACAGCTTCCTACTAGTTCTCGGGCATGTCCATTTGTGTTTTGTTCCATAAAGTATAAACGGTCAGAGTTGTTACTTGTGTTTCTTTCCACTCCGTTCTCAAACGCTTTAATGAAAGTGTGATACTTTAATGGATCACCATCAAATGTTGGTATTTCTCGCTTTGGTAAGGATGAAAGACTTTGTTGCTGTATTAACAGAGATGTTATTTCACTTTGCCTATTCATGATCCCCAGAACCTCATCTTTATTATTGATTTCATGGCTGTTTGTGATGATGGTGGGATTGACTGATTGTTGCAACGCATTATGATTTGAGGACTGTGAGATTCCCATTGTATCTCTCACAACATACTGTTCATTCTTTTTTGGTGCTCTTTGGTTTTGTGTGGATGGAATGAACTCTCTTGCGTTGATATTAAATGATTTATTCTTTTCTTTTTCAAGGTATGAATTAATTCCATTTGAAATCTTTGAACTTGTGCTTCTTGATTTCAATATATTTAGTTTGGCCACTTTTTCTGCAATCTCAGTTCCAAGCTGCAACTTCTCCTTCCTTTTACGCAGTTGGTCCTCCTCGTCCTCTAATGCGTGCCTTTCCTCCAATAAGGTCTGTTTCACACCGCACACGAATTCGTGAACAAATTCGTCTTCGAAACCCGCTTGCGTGCATTCGCAAGCTGCGCTTCAAGTCGCGTCCTGTTGTGCAAATGAGAAAGCTCTTCTGTGTACAGACCGGCGCCGAGTATTTCTTTAGTATTAACCAGGAGATAGAAGTATGCGTGTCACGTGACATGATGTGACACTGCGGAGACTTCTTTCCTTTCACGAAAACGAAAGCACATGTGAAGATGGATGACATACGCATCATCGAGGCCGTGGAGGGCTTCCCCGAATTGTATAGTAAAGGACACCCAAACTACAAAGATATTCGAAAGAAAGAAAGAACCTGGCAGGTTATTGGAGCCATGCTAGGTTTAGACGGTATGTATTGTGTTCACAACATCGCATGCATGAAGTCGAACTCCAAAACAGTGAAACAAGTGATTGTATTCATGTGATAGGAGGGTACACGCTATTTAAACCGCTAATTAGCAAATATACAATAAAATATAACTTTAAAAGCATTAACTTTGAATAACAAAAAGTAAACTTTTTTTTAAAGTTTGATAACAAAAGAAGTATGTGTTTTATAGATAAGATATGTATTTATTAGTGACCATAAAAATTTAAGTGAAAATACAAAAGAAAAAACAGAAGAAATTAACAACATCAATGTCCATCCATCCATCCATTTTCTACCCTTTAATCCATTTCTGGGTCAGGGGGGTGGCAGTCAGAGATGCCACCCAAGTCTCATAGCACCAGCCCCTCACTGACCCTCTGCAGGTGGTGAGTCCACAGGAGGACGGCTGCTCTCTTAGTGTGAGCATAGCCTTGATCTTTCAGTGGGGGCTTTGGGCAAAGTGGGGTTAAGTGTCTTGCCCAAGGACACAACGACAGCAGTCATCAGTGGGAGTCGGTGGGGAAGGTGCAGAGGTACATCAAGGTACAACATTACATCAATGTAATACAGCTATTACGGTTTCAAATAGAAAGCATTTAAAATATGCGTTTACTACAAAGGAATAAGAAAGAAACAGTATACAGGCATTATGTTTATATACAAATTTAAAATGCCAAGTAACATTTACTTTTGTAATTATAATGCCTATTTAATTTTACATTTTAGTTTTACATTCAAGACATGGGCAGGTCCAATACACAAAAAACACCACACTATGATAATGAAACGACAATCAAAATAGGCTATAAGATACATTATAAGGAAATGTTAGCAATTTATTTAAGGTCTACATGTGCTATTTTGATTTCTGACCTGTTATTTCAGACAACATATGTAAATATACAACATGTAGTTTGGAGTACAATACTACTCCTTTTGTGCGTGCTACTTGTCTAGGCGCTTCGCCCACGCTCGGCGTCAGTCTGAATACATGCGCTCGCCGCGAGGTAGTTCGGCTGGAAAGGGCGCTCGGCTCTGCGCTCGGCGTGCGGTGTGAAACAGGCCTGTTTCACACCGCACACACCTGTTTCACACCGAAACAGGCCTGTCATACAGGCCTGTTTCCAGCCGAACTACCTCGCGGCGAGCGCATGTATTCAGACTGACGCCGAGCGTGGGCGAAGCGCCTAGACGAGTAGCACGCACAAAAGGAGTAGTATTGTACTCCAAACTAATAAACATGTTGTATATTTACATATGTTGTCTGAAATCAAAATAGCACATGTAGACCTTAAATAAATTGCTAACATTTCCTTATAATGTATCTTATAGCCTATTTTGATTGTCGTTTCATTATCATAGTGTGGTGTTGTTTTTTGTGTATTGGACCTGCCCATGTCTTGAATGTAAAGCCCTCGTCACTCCCCCTCCCCCAAAACAGAACAGGTTTAACCTTTGGCCAGAAGCCTAGTCCTTTATGCTGTAGACTTCTTTGACTCGACACGTACTTCTTCTGTAACGTCTTTTACAAGAAACTACCGCAAAATGGGTAAGTTTGGGTCTTAAACCGTAAATCCATTATGTGTTTTTATAGTATACTGATTTATTTTTGTTTACGGTATTATATACTATTACAGATCGTGTTTTTGACCGAAGAAAGGCCTTGGCCCTGTTTCTTTTGTTGAGACTACGCAGAAGACAAAACCTGAGATTGTGGATTCATCCCATAAATCAGAACAGGAGACAATTTGGAGCATACCACCATCTTGTGGCAGAGCTGCAATTGCATCCAGATAAACATTTTACATACTTTAGAATGTCTGCTCTCCAAATGGAGGGTCTACTGTCCATTATTGGTCCCACAATTAGGCGTGAGGACACAAATTACAGGAAGAGCATCTCCCCCAAGCAAAGACTGTCTCCGCAGTGTCACATCATGTCACGTGACACGCATACTTCTATCTCCTGGTTAATACTAAAGAAATACTAGAATAATTATAAGATTGGAATAGAACTGTTATGTCGCCTTGAAATTACAATTATATTTTATGCATAAAAAAAAAGTATGACATGGAAAATTGTGTAATTAAAAGAATAAACTTATATGTACTTATGCATTACAATAATGAGATTAGATAAACGTGAAATTGCTTTATAAAAGTTATTTTTTGAATATTTTCGTGCTGAAAGCCGCTTCGCTGCGCAGCCTACACGCGGAAAAAATGCGCTCGAGTTCCATTTTTGGTTTCAGGAGCGGAGGCGGCAGCGGCGCGCGCCGATTCCCTGCGCGCCGATTCCCTGCGCGCCGCCTCGGCGCCGGTCTGTACACAGAAGAGCTTTCTCATTTGCACAACAGGACGCGACTTGAAGCGCAGCTTGCGAATGCACGCAAGCGGGTTTCGAAGACGAATTCGTTCACGAATTCGTGTGCGGTGTGAAACAGACCTAACTGCGTTTTTAAGTGGCATTTAATCATCAGCTTTGAAGATTTAACACATAACACATTGGCCATACGTGTACGTGTACAAAACTTAACAAAAACAAACGGTCAACAAAGAAATACGGCTACCCAGATCCCTACGACTTCTCACCTGAACACCGGTGTCTGCCATATTTAAAGGTCCCGGCATATCCCCAGAGCTCACGTGACTCACGCACCTCCCCTGACGTTACCATAGCAACCCAACACATTATGGCTCTCACAAATATATTATTCTCATGTGTAAATGCTTATGAAGCGTCTTAGGATAACTCCTAGAAACAAAATAATGCAGGATTAATCAGGCTTCTGGTCACAGTGTTTGCCAGAAAATGTTGATTTCTTTTTTCTAACATTGCAGCCTTCCAGTGCATTTCTTTGATGGTGTTATATTGTGTTGTTATTTGATACTACCATAGTGATTGATGTTGTTGTTATGATTTCTTTAGGCGCAGTACCTGCCCCAGTTACCACACAGTAACCTCTCTCCTGCACCTGATGTAAAGAAACAGGTGAAGCATAAATATCATCTCCCTAACATCTAGGTTCAGAAGTAATTTTCACTTTTTCTTCTATTTTTAAAACTTTCATGAAGTTGTCAATACATCCCAATATCTGCTCACATACTGAAAACCAAATTCTCTATTGACGCCCATTTCATTTGTGTTATAAAACTGTTTGAGCCACAGATGTGCCATCCTCTATTGGCATGTTTTATTTGCACTAAGAGCAAATAGTTTGACTGAATAAATGTATTGATCTGGGGAAATGCATCATTTGTGCTATTTGTATGATTCCTGTTGTTATATAAGAATGAATCAAAGAATGTAATATTGTGTGCGAACAGCCACTGGCGTGTTTTTGTTTACTGTTTGCAATTAAAAATTCTGATGCGTCTTCTTATGACTAAATCCTGCACGTCTTATCTATTCATTTGTTGTTTTTGATTTCCATTCACACAAATAATAAGGCTGTTTTAAAGCTGGAATAATTTTCAAACCACACAAAATGTAATATAACCTAGATAGCAACTCAAACTCAAAACCATATTCTTTTATCACTAGTTTCAGATGGATGTGTTTTAGCTTCTTCTGCATCCTGAGAGCAGCTTTTTTACACAGGAAAAAGAGAGGATCATCTTCACTCAGCCAATCAGCTCTCAGCTCAGTGTTAAACAGTGACTTTAGCTCTTTCTTACATCAATAGAGACAAGTATCTAACGACATGAAGGCGGACTGATGTGGTCATACTTATTCACAAAACCAGGACTGTTTCTGCTACGACAAACAAACTGTATATGAAACAAAAACAGTTGGGTGCCTCAGCTTTATTCTGACTTCCTCCTGAGGAGAAAAGACTGGAGCTTTTCCCACATTATGAGATGACTTAACAACCATTTTGTCCAATGCTGACTCTATGAAAGGGTTTTTCACAGACTGGGTAATATAACGCCTCCAAACACTGGTCTGGACGAGGATCCAATGAACCACAAGGATTTAAATTAGCACGCTGACAAACGGACACCCTGCCTAGATTGATCACCACTTAAAACAGCTCAAGTTTCAGCCTTTGTTTACGGTAGTAATGGGAGTAAGTGTAGCTAAACATGTTTAGTTTGGATGTAAGGATAGAGGGTTTCTTTAAAACTGTTTTTGTTTCTTGTTACTAATCTCTTAAAAAAATAAAGGATCTCTTAAGAGAAAACATCCAGGAAAATATAGTCATAATAAAGAATTTAACGCCTGAAGTTACATGTGAACGAATTATTTACAAGAAAGAGTCTTGTGTCATTTGAATAATCCGTATATCAAAGTTACTTAATGACTTCCCTGACCAGTAAGAGCCACACTATTTTTTGTTAATTTCAAATATGTGCATTTGAACATGTGTCAAAGGCATATGCCAAAATGAATAACTTCAGTGTTATCTGAAGCAGATAAACTTAACTACAATAAGAAATATTGTTTTAAAAGAACTTTTAACAATGCACTACAAACTTGTCCTTGAATCCTCCCTGAATTCACCAGACTCAGGCTAAACATTATACAAAAGGCTTTTTATGCAAACACCTAATGATTAATATAAGAACACTTTATAAAAACACTTTAATCATTTGTATAAAACATTTTATGGAGACATTTCATGATTAAATATGGAACTTAATATTTTCATAGATGTTGATACATGATGACAGTAATAGAAGTGTATCGGTGTGTGCTGTATTTAAATCTGCAACAGTACACAGTGGTCAGTGGTGCACACAGACCCAGGGCCCAGGCCAGAACATGCTGATACATTTTAACGCATTTTTGCTATGATATTATATTTACGATGAATATTTGCAAAGCTGCTGACTTCAGGACTCAGCTCAATACTGTCTGCGACTCCAGGACACGTGAAGGAGAATCGCTGCAGCAGAGTTACCAGGAAAAGAAATATCTCCATCCGAGCAAGAGACTCCCCAACACAAGCCCTCTTTCCTAATCACAGCAAAAAGGCACTGGTGCAAATGGATTTTACATTGTGAACTATACCCATGTACTGTGTCATACCAGCAGAAAAGGGAAGAAAAGCTGGATTTTTCTTGAAGTTTTCATTCCGGTCTAGAAAGTGTTGAGGGTTGAATGCAAAGGGAGTTTCCCATTGTTTCTCCTCTTTCAGAACAGAATGCAGAAGGGGGAAAATCATTGTGCCCTGTGTTCACAAGAAAGCATTTTTACATATTTACATATGTAAACACATATACACAGTAGATTGAGCAGATAACCTTTGGTATGGTGTAGCCCCTGAAGGGGATGTCTTGCAGAGCGTAGTGTGGAGCTCCTAAAGGAGCTATGTCCATGAAACGCTGCACTTCGTGGAGGGCCGCGTCCACGAACGGGAGGGACTTCCTGTCTTCCATAAAAGGTAAACGTTCTTGGCCAATCACACTGTCAATCTCTTTCTGCATTCTTACTGGAAATATAGAATAACATACAAAACAACAAAAACCTCTTGGTGACATCTTACTTTGGGTCTTTTCCACTCAGTCCAAAGGCCAAATCAGGTTCTTCTAACAATCATCCAAATATTTAATAGATATATATTTTGTACTTTCTAATTTTATCCTACTTGATGCTTGTTTTTGTTTATTTCCCCACAAAACTATAACTGATGCTGTCAACAAATCCTTTCACTTAATCATTTAAATGTTTGCAATGTGACACAGACCCCTACCATAAATCTGTAAACTTAACTTATATGTATACATTTATTATGTGGTTGCACAATTGTATTAGTGCTTCTGTGATTTATCACTAAAATATTACATCTCACGAATTACATTGTCTTTATGTTTACAATTTGACATTTACTCGAGTACTATCACTGAGTCCTACCTACAGCCTATGGTCCTACCTTGTACCTCTGGATACTTGATCAACACGTTCAGAGCAAATCTTATGGTGGAGCTGGTGGTTTCGGTTCCTCCAAAGTACATATTAAACACAGTAGAAACCAAGTTGTCGTAGTGGAACTCAGTACAAGTGTCTCGTTCCTTTAAACATCCAACAAACAAATGAATTTAGATAGTAATACAGTAAAGTTCATGTGTTTTAGGTGAACCTTTATGGCTCTTGTGAGGAAGCAGTCGATGTAATCTCTTGGGGAGTTTGAGTCCAGAGTGTCTTCATGCTCCTTCACCTTTTCAATCACAAACTTTCTCAGCTCTTCAATGCTTGCAAATGCTTTTTGATGGCCCCCAGGTAACCACTCCATCAGCCCAGGAAATATGTTGTACAACTGTGGACAGAATAAAAGTGATTTCAAAGTTCAAGCCAATCTCCTCTGCTCCATGTTTCTTTTACTGCACACGTTGAGCCAAACCCAGAAGTTGTAAAATGAGGTGTTTTTCAGTCAAATAAGTGTGAAGGAATTTACCCAACACTCACTGAGAGGCTTGTCTGACTTACAGTATGGTTTTATTATGTGAAGTGTATGCAGCTCTTTTGAAAATCTGTTATATTAATCAGAATTTAACTTTCTTATATAGTTATGACCTTTTGAAACGGCACATTTTATCTTTTCCAGTTTCTATTTCCTCCATGGAGATGTTTCACAGATAATCCTTCAAACATACAGTGGGGCAAAAATGTATTTAGTCAGCCACCGATTGTGCAAGTTCTCCCACTTAGAATAATGACAGAGGTCTGTAATTTTCATCATAGGTACACTTCAACTGTGAGAGACAGAATGTGAAAAAAAAATCCAGGAATTTACATTGTAGGATTTTTAAAGAATGTATTTGTAAATTATGGTGGAAAATATGTATTTGGTCAATAACAAGAATTCAACTCAATACTTTGTAATATAACCTTTGTTGGCAATAACAGAGGTCAAACGATTACTATAGGTCTTTACCAGGTTTGCACACACAGTAGCTGGTATTTTGGCCCATTCCTCCATGCAGATCTTCTCGAGAGCAGTGAACACGGACTTTCAACTCCCTCCACAGATTTTTAATGGGGTTGAGGTCTGGAGACTGGCTAGGCCACTTCAGGACTTTCAAATGCTTCTTATGGAGCGACTTCTTCGTTGCCCGGGCCGTGTGTTTGGGATCATTGTCATGCTGGAAGACCCAGCCACGTTTCATCTTCAAAGCTCTCACTGATGGAAGGAGGTTTTGGCTCAAAATCTCACGATACATGGCCCCATTCATTCTTTCCTCAACACGGTTCAGTTGTCCTGTCCCCTTAGCAGAAAAACAGCCCCAAAGCATGACGTTTCCACCCCCATGCTAGTAGGTATGGTGTTCTTGGGATGCAACTCAGTATCCAAACACGACGAGTTGAGTTTAAACCAAACAGTTCTACTTTGGTTTCATCTGACCACATGACATTCTCCCAATCCTCTGCTGTATCATCCATGTGCTCTCTGGCAAACTTCAGACTTACAATTTTTTTTTTGGAATTGGTATCAATACTTAATATATGGCTACATTACCCATCTCCATTCTATTTATCATGAAATAAAGAGTAATTTTTCTTTTATTTATGCCATAAATTGGCATATTGTATATTTCTGACCAATATATCAATAATCGTCATATCGTGATAAAATCGTTATCGTGATATCGTTATCGTGATATTATCGTTATCGTGATCGTTATCGTGAGCTGTGTATCGTATCGTATCGTGAGGTACCCTTAGGTTCCCACCCCTATTGGCCATAGTGGAGTTTGGAGTCTGACTGTTTGAGGCTGTGGACAGGTGTCTTTTATACAGATAACGAGTTCAAACAGGTGCCATCAATACAGGTAATGAGTGGAGGACAGAAGAGCTTCTTAAAGAAGAAGTTACAGGTCTGTGAGAGCCAGAGATCTTCCTTGTTTGAAGTGACCAAATACTTATTTTCCACCATAATTTACAAATAAATTCTTTAAAAATCCTACAATGTGAATTCCTGGATTTTCTTTTCACCTTCTGTCTCTCACAGTTGAAGTGTACCCATGATGAAAATTACAGACCTCTGTCATTATTTTAAGTGGGAGAACTTGCACAATCGGTGGCTGACTAAATACTTTTTTGCCCCACTGTATCTACTTTGTTTTCTCTATTACTGGGTGTTTTTATTGAGCAAAAAAAGAATGTTTTCCTAATGTGAACCGATTTGACATTTAATTTCCCTTAAAAAATGAATTCATCGTTGTATTCTATCTATAGCTCTTCCTTATTCCAGCACTATCTGGATATGCTTGTACTTGTTTGCATGGGGCTGATAAATTCTACAGTTTGTCAATTGAATTTATTGGGATTTAAGATGCAAAAGTAAGAGGATTACGGTCAGTTGCCAATAACACCACACAACCAAGCAAATGTGGCAAATAAATTCACTTTACAATTGTATGTTCCTGTGGACTCGCCACCTGCAGGAGGATCAGTGAGGGGCCGGTGCTGAGTGTACTGGGTGCAGCTCTGACTGCCCCCCCTTAGAAATGGATTAAGGGGAAGAAGGTGCAGGATAGATAGATGGATGGATGGATATTCCCAAAACTATAGAGCAGTTTTATTATTTGTGAAACAATTTCAAGAAAAGCTATACAGTATCACTTTATAGTTCTTGTCATTGTGTTGTTTGAACTGTGACGTTGACAGACATGTTGCAGAGTTTACAATTAATTCTGAAGTTAAAATATAATATAACTGGCTCACGACTGCCCAGGGGCTGCTCATGGATTTGAGGATTTGAGAGATGTGCTGCAGGAGCTTGAGGAAGTGCTGGTCGTCGTAGGAAAATCTTTGTCCAAACACGAGGCAGCAGATGATGTTTGACACGGAGCAGCTCAGGAAGTATGTGGGATCAAAGGCCTCACCTGCGCAACATGATGGATGTGGTCAGAATACGATACAGAGGCTCCTATGGCTGTCACGCGTCTGACTGGATCTGACTGGGTCTGACTGGCACTGACGCAGACTGACGCAGACTGACACCTGATTTTCTGATTTGAATGTGTGGTCATTCATGTTAAAGCTTCGAGACCACTTCTTTTGTTTGGACAGCCAGGGAAACTTTGTTTTGACTTATTTAGAATCCCAATTTATTTCATTGCAAGAATATTATTTATCTTTAAAGTAGCAATATATAAGATTTTCTTGTCAAGTCATCATTAAATGGCCCTAATAAAACATGCTCTTTTCCAATACTTCTTTATCTGATAATAGTCAAAATTTGTTTTACAACCCCTAAATCTTGTTATGGTTTTTATTTTGATGTCCCACCCTCCAACGTATTACCAATCAGAAAATCCGTGATCCAGGTTGCCAGAAGTCACCGCGTCGAGCTAATCTCACTGGTAAAGTAACTGGTGGCTGCAAAAAAAGGTCTCGTTCTAAAATCATCTCAATCAAGATTTCTATCTTTGTGAAAAAGGTGTCGGTTATAGATTTGTTGTTGATAAAACTCTTTTTTCAGATAATATGGTCCCAGCTGGATTCGTCTGCAAATCTGGTAACCTGAGTCAAGGAGAGTGCAGTACCACTTTTGGCCAGAGTTTTACATACTGCTCCTTTAAAGCTATATGATTCTATTTTAATATGAATGCAATCACATGTATTTTACCAAACTGTGCAACTAATCATTTCTTATAGTTTGAGGAGGACATTTTTTTTATGAAATTGCAGTTCACCCTTTAGCACGCAGGCCTGCTCCAACAATACTGACTGAAACAAACACGCATGGGTTTAAAGGAAGCAGGGGCTACAGCACTATAGAAGAATGTTATGTACTATTATTGGCCAATTAAAATGACAATAAGATTATTTACTTTTCCATGTCATGTTTTAGAATGTGAAATAATGTCTTTGATAGAAAAGCATGAAAAAAATATGGTGAAATTATGAAAGGGCAAAAAAGCGATCTACCTGTAACTCCCTATGCTACCACCAGAGGGAAAACCGTTTTTTTCTTTTCTTTTTTTTAACCATGAAAAAACGGACCGGCTGCTTCACCAGAGAGTAATTTATGGGAAATACTTTTGTTTTAAAAGGCAGCGTTAAGTGCCAAAAGTTCCTCATATTAGCATGGATGGATCTAAAAACAACTCCAAGTCTGGAAACAATGTTTTAACATGGTTCAACATTGATTTTATATTACCATACTCTCCCTGATACAATTGTTGAGATTATAGTTATAGCATATGTATATATTTTTATTTTTATTTTTTTAGCATACCATTCATAGTTTTGATTCGATCCACCAGATGTTTGCTCTCTTCTTGGATCCACTGCTCCATTCCTTTGCGCCCCATCCCAAAGTCCCTCAAAGTGCTCAGGGTGAAGTGCCGCAGCTGCCTCCACCGCTCTCCGTTGCTTATCACCAGTCCTTTTGTGGACCAGCGAGGTTAATGTTCTCCCAGAATACATTTATTATGACACATTATTCGGTGTTATGAAGTACCATGGCCCCTGGTGACTTTGACCAGAAACGGCAGTGGTCCTCGGCCTATGAAGTCATCGGCCTGATCCACCAGAGCCTCCTTCACGGCCTCATATCCGACCAGAAAGACTACTCTCTGTAGTCCTGCGTTCACTGTGATCACAGGGCCATGTCTCTCACTCAGCTGCAGATCAACAACACATACCATTGAACCATACACTGCTTTCTGCGTTATTGCCTCATACAAGTACACTCCTTGATTTTTATCTGTGTGTGTTGCCATTTACCAACACTGCAAAAAGCTCAAACAAATGTATCTAATCTGAGCACATTCTGACTGTCTTTCTTGCCCCATTGGAAAAACAAGATATGCCAATGGGACAAGAAAAAACCGAAACAAAAAAAAACAAACAAAAAAGAAACGTCTCCCTCGGAATGAGAACAGTCTTATAAATACGACTGAATGGCTAGTCTCATGTCTAAATGTAAAAAGAAAACACTAGATTCCAGCAATTATTACCCAATTGTTTGTCATCTTTTGCAGTGTACATTCCATTGGATGTGTATTTGTGTGTGTTACCATTTACCTTTACGTGTCTTTCTTGTAATTCTATTTTTTTTTTTCACAATAAATCTACGACTGTTCACTGTGAGGACAGACAGATAATACTAATCCTGTTAGAATCTGCATGTCAGTGATTGTAATCGCGATTGCCGCTTTCGCTTTACTTTCTGCGTTGTTTTTGTCAATGAGCAGAAGAGTCGCGGATTGCGGCTGTGAACTTGCCTGGCCTGCCAGACACTCCTCCTTTCTGTTCAAAGGAAGAACCGTCTGGACACCTCTTCCTAGCCTATCATTTCACGATTTTACCCACATCGGTCCAATCACGCACCGAGAGGCGGGACTTCCTTTCACCTTTGAGTTGCTAATAACTCCTCGTATCTTTAAGTTTTTGTTACAAAATCGACAGCAGTCGTTTACATTTGCACTAGCTGACATGCCGCCATCCCTTGTTTTGTGTTTACTGAAACGGCTTGGGTGCCGCTAGTTGCTGCGTCATATCCTGTATGCATCTAATTGGTTGATGCAGTCTGTCAACCACGCCCACCGGGAATTCGCTGAGATCAAGCTCGTTCCCAGACTATGGCCCAGTCCCAATACCCACACTGCACCCTACGCCCTCCTATGAAGTGTGCATTTGTTTGAAGTGCGCGCAAGGGTTTGAGTGCGCAGGTTGCAAGTGTGCACAAAAGGCGGAATTGGGACAGTGCACACTGAGTGCAGGTTACGTCATCGACTCGTCAAGAGATGGTCATTTTCAGACCTAAACTTTATAAAAATTAAAGGTAATTTTGTCTGACCCTTTGGGAAACAAATTGAATTGCTTCACACACGTTAAAATACATGTATATTAGTGTTTTTTAATTAGAGATAGCTGTATAATTTTAAGTTAAAGGAGCAATATGTAAAAATCTGGCCAAAAGTGGTACTGCAGTCACAGTCAATATTTTGTAGTCCTCTCCCTCTCTCCCTGACTCAGGTTGCCAGATTCACACCAAATCCAGCAGCAAACACAGGGAATTATTTTATCAGTTGTTTGTCCGTCTCCATTCACATTGCCATGACAGCCGTGCTAATGCTGAATGAATGTTTTGATTAATGTGTTTTTATTATTATTATTTGGACATTTGAGATAAAAAATCAAAAACAAAATAAAAGCAATGTAATTATACATTGTTTATGCAAAATAAATAAGCAATTGATGTCCAAAATAGGAGTGGGATGAATGGATGTTGGAACGTATTTCTTCAGCGTATCAACATCAGGGTTTGCTCAAGAGGATATCACCTTTCAATGTTATTTATTCCCTATTTTTTAGACAAACATGTAAAAGTCCCACATCAAAAAGAGACTAACATTATTTTAATTGGGGTACATGTGGTCTTAAATGATTATTTTTACAATTAAGCTATAATCTGCAAAAAAAATGTCTTGACCTTCATCTTTTACCGTTTTTAGAGTAATCTGTCATAGAATGTGATAACATGCAATAAATACAGAAAGACATAGCCCGGGATCGAACCCGGGTGCCTGCGTCGTCGGCGCACTGCTTAGACCACAAGACCACCGATTCGCACGTATAACGAAACTGTGAAGAACGAACTCAAACTAGAAAATTCTGCATCACACGTGAACTTTTATCAGCTGTCTCAATTGTTCAAAGGCATCCCGATATAAATCCTCGTTTTAGTCTTTGTTTTGTCATTAATGATTTGAGAGTCATAACAAGACCTTTTTTAGTTCTACGCCACATGTTATTTTACCACTGAGATTAATGAGCCGCACGGAGTTCTGGCAACCTGATCACGGACTTACATGACACTTCCTGATTGGCGAAACGGCGGAGGGTAGGACATCAAAATCAAAACAATAACAACTTTTACGGGTCGTAAAACTAATTTTGATAATCAAATATCTCGGCTGAACTACTGTTATCAGTTAAAGATGAATTCGAAAAGAGTATGATTTAATAACGCCTTTTGAAATATTCGGGTCATTTAATGATGACTTGACATGCAAATATTACATATTGCTCCTTTAAATGTGGGTAACTAACTATCTGGTCAGTTTTTATACATTCTAAGATTATTGTACTAAGTGTAAAGTTTAAATTGAATGTTATATAAACGCTTGGTTTAAAACGTTATTAAATTGTTAAAACACAATGTCCGTAATTCTTCATCAGACGTTTATGCTTCTTTCCAAGTAACATAGCAAAACTTATTTACACACATACAGCATATATATTTCAAAATGTATATTTAAATGCATTTTCCCGACGTTTTGGTGTGTACCGCAAAGAATTATGGGCAATATCCTTCGCCAGAGTGCGCATAGATGCAGGCTACGGCGAAGTGTGGATCAGGGGCGCAAAGGGGGCGGGGCCAAAGACCTCCCTGGAGAATTGGGACACCCTACGCACTCGCACCCTTTATCGGGAACGCGCAAATGAGGGGCGCGAGGGTGGAAGTGCGAGTATTGGGACGGGGCCTATATGTCTTTGAAAAAGCATATCGTTTGGCAGGCCAGGCAAGCTGTGAACCATAGACTACTGTATCTGTGAACACCTGCAGAGTCGCGGCTGCTGCTGTCTCTGTGAGGTCTATGGAGAAGTGTAGAGGACAGTGCAATGTGTTCACTGACACTAAATGATCAGACCGATGGGTTGCATTTGTACGTTTACTTTGCACTCCTAAACTTACAGACGTGTTGCTGCAGGCGTTACTATTTGTCAGCTCGCACTTATCTTAGCAGAGTATGTGGTGCGTTCACGAGTAGTCCATACAAACTATCATTGAACATTACAGACAGTATGGGCCAGAGAACTGTGGAGCAGTAAAATGTTTGTCCTCATGGTCTCAGCGGCTGCTGTGGTCAGACGGCAGACTTTATGAACTGCGTGAAGCGGAGAGACCCGCGCACGTGCGGCCGTTATGTGAGATGTCAAACTTGTTTCACTTCCAGGTAATCGATTGACGCCGAAATGTATTAAATTAATAATTATTGCATTTTCTAGTTCCCAAATCCGGTTATTGTAATATATATATTTGTCTTATAAGCAATGAAAAAAAACAAAATGGTCATTTTTGTATATTGCTGTGTGCCTGAAAATGCAAAATAGCCTTTTTTCGATTTTCCATTTCCTTTCAAAAATAGAAAATGTATTGAACGAAAAAGTACACAGACCCAGTAACTTTACATCTGTTAAATAATAAGGAAAACATAAACATTTTGAAAACATCAGACTTTTATTTCCATTATATTTAATTAATACCAAAAAGTAAACCATTTAATGAATGTAAAAATGTCCTATTTGATATAAACACAATAACATTTGTGGCCCACATATGAAAATATAATATTTCATCCCTTATTTACATCCTGTGAAGCGTGAATATACTGTTAATACAAGGTTGGACAGATAGCGCTAAGTTTACCTTCCATTACTTTCTTTGCAGTGCAATAATAACCCAGGCTATCGCGGTGTGGCAATGATCTGGTATCTCCGGGGCACGTTTCCAAAGCCGCTGGTCTCAGGAGTCAGGTTGATACTGTCTGGGCCTCCGCTGCACGAGAAGCTGAAGTGTTGAAGCAGAGTCACAATAAATATGAAAAGCTCCATACGGGCCAGAGACTCTCCCGGACAGGCCCTTTTCCCTGGGACCAGAGAGACCAGACTTTAACTCAATCAGAAGAAAATAGACTGATCGAGATGTGTGAAGTTTTACCTGTAGCAAATGGCATAAAAGCTGGATTCTTCTTAAAGTATCCATTCTCATCCAGAAAGTGCTCAGGGTTAAAGCTGAGCGGAGTAGCCCACTCTTTCTCCCCTTTCAGCACAGAGTGTAGCATGGGAAATATGAATGTGCCCTGTAAAGACATGCATATTATACACATTATTACATATCCATTCATCTTTAATTTCTTCTATTTCTGTAAGTCACTCGTCACTTTACCTGCTGCTACTATTGTTATATTCTCTGCGCCTAAAGTACAATAAACACATTTGTAAATACTGTTCCGACCGGGATTCGAACACTGGACCTTCTTGCTAAGAAGCGAGAGTACTATTCACTCAGCCACTGTGGCAAATTAAACAGGGTCTATTATTAAGATGCATGTCAGAAAACTTTTTCCAGCGTAACCAGGACAAAATTGAGGTTTTAGTCATCGGTCCTGAGGCCCAGAGAGAGAAACTTTTACCAAAACTCCAATCACACTCTTTTAGTCCATCATCACACGTAAAAACCTGGGTGTAATTTTTGACTCTGAGCTGACTTTTATTCCTCACATTAAGAATATCACAAAAATAGGTTTTTATCATTTATCATAACATTTAAGGAATATCGCCAGAGTCTGCCCCATTCTCTCTCGGGGCAACACGGAGACGCTGAGGCATGCTTTTATAAACCAGTTGCATTGACTACTGTAATGCCCGGCTCTCTGGTCTTCCCAAAAAGAACATTTCAGATCTGGAATCACCGGTTTTAAAATCGCTACATTGGCTCCCTGTGTGTTTCAGGTTTTAAGGCTCTTTTAATGGTTTTTAAATGTCTTAATGGTCTTGGGCCTTCTTATCTTTCAGAACAGCTTTTATCCTATGAACCTTCCCGGCCCCTGCGCTCCTCCGGCAGCAGACTCCTAACCATTCCCAAAGTCAGGACACACACTCACGGCGAGGCATCTTTCCAGCACTACGGCCCCCGTCTCTGGAACAGTCTGCCGGAGGAGCTCAGGGCCGCAGAGAACGTTCATATTTTTAAAGGCAGGCTCAAGACACACCTTTTTAGATTAGCTTTTGATTTGGATTTATTGTTCCATTTATTCTATTCTATTTATCTTTTAGACACATGTTCATTTTGTTTTTATTTTTTATTTTAATTTTTATTACTATTATTAATATGTATGATGATAGTTTCCTTATAGTCTCACATTTTAATGTTTAACTTTTTTATTGTATTGTTTTTAGCATCCCCTGGGATCCCACTGGGAGCAGTGGTCGGCTGTGGCTGTGGGGGTCTGGCTCTTGGACCTGGAGCCTCGGTTTCGTGTCTCCTCTGGGTCCTGTGTTGTTCCCTGTGGCTGCGGGCGGCTCTCTGCTCCTGGTGCAGACGGCTCCTTGGATGGCACTTCTGCAGCTGGTTACATCTGCACCCTGCCAAGTCTCTCTCTTCATGGTTTAAATGTTTTACGGCACGGTGGCTGAGTGGATAGCACTCTCGCCTCTCAGCAAGAAGGTGCTGGGTTCGAATCCAGGTCGGACCAGGGCCTTTCTGAGTGGAGTTTGCATGTTCTCCCCGTGTCTGTGTAGGTTTCCTCCGGGTACTCCGGTTTCCCCTACCACTAAAAATATGTACAATAGGTCTGGTATGCGCCTCCTGTACTGGCGACCCCGCTCCCATCTCTGTGTGGAGTGAGAGACAAATGCCCAAAAAATAACAAACCGCTTTGAGACTCTGGTCTGTGAAAGGCGGTATATAAATAAAGATTACTTACTTACTTACTTAAGATGGTGTGTGTGTCCAAGAGCGAGAGAGTGTGTGAGCGTCTGTGAGAGTGCATGTGTGTGTGTGTGTGAGAGCGTGTGTGTGCGTGCGTTCTAAATCATATGTGGTTTGGGGTTGGTTTGTTAGGTGGTCGGGAGGGGGGGGGGTCATGGGTGGGATTGTTTTTAACCAAACTGTAAAGCACTTTGTGTTGCATTTTCTGTATGAAAAGCGCTGTATAAATAACATTTTATTGATTGATTAATTGATTAAAATATTTGTGGTGACAATGCGCATATTTTACCTTGGGAATTGTGTATCCTCTGAAAGTGATGTCTTTCAGTGCGTAGTGTGGTAGACTGAAAGGTACGAGGTCAATTGTACGTTGAACCTCATGGATGACCGCATCACTGAAGGGGAGGGACTTCCTGTCTTCCATGTTGGGACTACGCTCTGGTCCAATCACAGCGTCAATTTCCTCCTGCATCTTCTCTAAATGTGGCACAATTAAAACAACGATATTATAAAATGGTGATACGTGTATTGAACTAAAATCTATGATGTAAATGCCACTTACTCTGAATGTGGGGGTATTTGATGAAGACGCTGAGGGCGTATCGGATGGTGGAGCTGGCTGTCTCAGTTCCTGCTGCGAACAGGTTGAGGACTGTAGACCACAGGTTTTCAAAGTGGAACTCACTGTGTGCGTTTTCTTTCTCCTGATTGGAAGAGTATAGCCATAAGAAGTGAGGGAGAATTGAATCTCAATCTGAGCTAAATGAGATTATGCATATTTAAACCGCTCATGTGCAGACATAATATAGTTGTGTGCAGAACTGTCTATACACAACTTTGTAAAAATTTTATGTTTGTGTCTCTGTTTGTTTTATATGGATCTTAAGTAGTAGTAGTAATGTAGTTGTAATGAGTAATATTTCAGAGATCATAGAGCTGTAGCAAACCACGTTCTTGTTTTTACCTGGTCCATCTTGAGGAGAAAGCAGTCGATGTAGTCTCGGGGTGAGTTGGGATCCAGTGTGGCCATATGCTCCTCAATCTTTTTCTTATTGAATGCTCTCACCTCATTTACTTTGGCAAACAATGTGTGATGTGGCCCTGGTAGACGCTCCATGATCCAGGGGAAGATGTTGTAGAGCTGAGGATAAGGAAAAACAATCCAAATGTAGCGTCAATATTATTGGAATATTTAAATGATATTGTGAAGGTTAAAATCAAACATACTGTACCTGTCCATATGGGGAGCTATTGAATTTGATGAACTCATTTAAAGTCTGCAATAGATGAAGAAAATGTTTGTCTTCATACAGGAAGCGTTGCCCAAATACCAGGCAGCAGATCACATTGGACACAGTTTGGCTTAATATAAATGTGGGGTCTAAGGACGTGCCTGAAATACAAAATTAGAAACACTAGTATAAATGATACTAATAATGGCAGTCAAATCAATAATACAAGTCAAGCCAAACTTTTGTAGAAATATGAAAAATGTACAGATTTTTATAGGATTTTTCAAAACATTATTAAATGCCATTTACTTTACTGTGATTCAACTTACAATGTTAAATTAATATATGCTAGATTCAATACACACACAGTGAGATCAAGCCTTTATTTGTTATAATGTTGATAATTGTGGCTCACAGCTTGTAAAATAAAACATCTCAGAAAATTATAAGATGTTGTATACCAAAGTAAACCAAAAATAATCAAAATGACAGCAAACAAAGGCTCGGCATATGTCACGAGTCTGCATCATAAAATGGTTTATGATTTGTTGTTGAATTACAGAAAGGAATCAACTTTTTAAGAGTATTCTGAATTGTATTTGTTTTACCTGTATACTGCTACTTTTCTCATCAACCCAATCATTATCAGCAAGTTTCACAATAGTTCACATGGGATGGGATAAGGCTTACACAGTAATCTGGGTCATGTGAAGAGTGCAGTATTAGACCCCCCAGTACCTTTGAATGTGTTGATGCGTTCTATCAGATGCCTGCTCTCCTCTTGGATCCAGGTCTCCATCGTCTTTCGGCCCATCCCAAAGTCTCTCAGAGTGGTCAGAGTGAAGCGTCTGAGCTGTCTCCAACGCTCACCATTACTGATTCCTAAACCTGAAGAAAGATCACAGCAGAAACATGACTTTTGTTCAGTTCAATTCAATAAATATGTGTACAGCCCTAAATCGCAACACTACTGTAGTCTCAAAGGACTTTATCTTTTCTGTTGTAGTACGTCTGCAGTAGTAAATACTTAGTATTTACTAAGTATTAGTAGTAGTAGTAGTAGTAGTAGTATGTAGCTCTAGATTAAAACTAGGACTCCCAGAATTCTGAAACAACTAAAACTTCCATGGCAGACATTTTGACGGCTCCCATAATAATTCATGAAATTCTGAAACAAATCCTAAAAAACAGGTTTAGTTTTTTTCCACTACTTTTGTTAGAATCAGGTCAATACGGTTTTGTAATCAAACTGATAACTGAAATAACTGCTGTAAGTAAACAGTGTGTTGCTATGGAACTAGCAATTGCTCCAAGCTGAGATTGCTCTGAACCAGTCTAGGACCAGTATAGAGAATATCATAAATGTAATGAAATAGAAAAATACTACTTATAGAAACAGAAAAAGTCACAAAGTATGGAGACCAAATATTTACATAAGCAGAGTAATTACACGCCAACAAATTGACAGGGAGCTCGAGAGATGACTGTCAGGGTAAAAAACAAAAACATGTGTAGTGAATAGCCTGAACTTACCATATCCCCGGGTGGCTTTGTTGAAAAAATGAATAGGGGCTCTGCCAGAGAAGTCTTCTGCCTGGTCCACAAGAGCCTCCTTCACTGCTTCATATCCCACCAGAGCCACAGCACGCTGCCAGCCCAAGTATATGGTAATCACAGGGCCATAGGTTTTACTGAACTGCACAAAGTATAAAAGAAATGTCAATAGCATTCCATAAACAACTCAATGCATTCAAACTTACCTCCACAATAGATTTATATGGTGCGTTTTTGTCCACAAACGGCAGATTTCCAGCTAAGGGAAATGGAAAAGGTCCTGGAGGTAAGCTGCTGTTGCTTTTCACACTAAATATCCAAAACAGAACAAGTGCAAGAGCCCCCAAGACTATAGTTGTGTACAAATCCATGTTTTCTCTGCTCTGAAAGTCTGCAGTGACTGATGCTGCACACAGCTCTGCTCCAGCCTTTTATGTTTTCCTTTGAGCCGAGTGTTTATAGGCCACAAGTCAACCATGTGACTTCAGTTCACCTTTGTGCACGCTCGCCAGATTGTTTTTACCAATAAATGATTGCAGCAGACATGACTAGACTTGAAGTGTCATAGAAACATCCTACAAAGCAACAGTATGACTTCTGACACAGAGGTGAAAAGCAAAACTACCCTGTTACATTTACTTAGTTACTCATAGAAGTTTCAGTCAAGACTTTTAAACTACTACTACTACTAATATAATATATATATATATCTCATTCTCCACCACCTTTGGAGGAGTTTCCCACTTAGACCTTGGAGTCTCCAGCCCATACTCTGCACAGATGTTTCTGTACACTATGCCAGCCACTTGGTTATGGCGTTCCATGTAGGCCTTCCCTGTCAGCATCTTGCACCCTGCAGTTATGTGTTGGATCGTCTCAGGTGCCTCTTTGCACAACCAACACCTTGGGTCTTGTCTGGTGTTGTATATCTGGGCCTCTATCGCTCTGGTGCTCAGGGCCTGCTCCTGTGCAGCCATGATGAATGCCTCTGTGCTGTCCTGTAGGCCAGCCCTTTCTAGCCATTTGTAGGACTTCTTGAGATCAGCCACTTCTGTTATGCTCCGGTGGTACATGCCGTGTAGGGGCTTGTCCTCCCATGATGGGCTCTCCTCCAGCACCTCCTCATCTCGCCATTGCCTGAGACATTCACTGAGTACGTCATCCGTTTTGGCCCTCTCCATGATGTAGTTATGGAGTTTGGATGTTTCGTCCTGGACAGTGGCTCTCACACTCACTAGTCCTCGGCCTCCTTCTTTACGGCTTACATACAGTCTCAGGGTGCTGGATTTGGGATGGAACCCGCCATGCATGGTGAGGAGCTTTCGAGTTTTAACATCCGTGGTCTGAATCTCTTCCTTTGGCCACCTGATTATTCCTGCAGGGTATCTGATCACTGGCAGGGCCTAGCTGTTAATTGCCCGGGCCTTGTTCTTGCCACATTGCCTGTGGTATACCGAGATACGACTAACTGTCCTCAACGTCTGCTATTGTTCCCTCTGGGAGTGAGATCCCTTCTGTGTGGACTACCTTGCCTCTCCGAGTCACCATCCTGCTACATTTCTCGAGTAAGTATCTTAGAGCCTTGTTGATATTGTACAACTTCAAGCATTCCATGATCCATGTGTGTGGCATTGAGTCGTAGGCTTTCTGGTAATCAATCCAGGCTGTGCACAGGTTGGTGTGTCGTGACCGGCAGTCTTGGGCGACTGTTCTGTCAACCTGGAGCTGGTGTTTGGCTCCTCTGGTGTTTCTACCAATGCCCTTCTGTGCTGTGCTCATGAATTGTTCCATATGCCCACTTTTCTTAGCCGCAATGATGCCTGACATGAGCTTCCATGTTGTGGAGAGATTATTGGCCGGTAGTTGGAGGGGACTGCACCCTTCACAGGGTCCTTCATGATCAGGACCGTTCGCCCTTCGGTTAGCCATTCTGGGTGAGTCCCATCTCTCAGCAGCTGTTTCATTTGTGCTGCTAGGCGCTCATGGAGTGATGTGAGTGTCCATAGCCAGTAGGCATGGACCATATCAGGGCCAGGTGCTGTCCAGTTTTTCATACCTGAGACTCTTTCTCGAATGTCTGCCTCTGTAAAGGTAACTGAGTTCTGTGCTCCTCTCTCTGGGAGACCATCACTGTGCTACCTCCTTCTCCCATATGTTCTTCCAGAACTGTTCAGTTTCCACCCTTGGTGGGTCTGCTCCCCTGTTGTTACCCTGCCACTGAGCGTACACTTTCGCAGGTTGTGTTGCGAACAGCCTGTTTACTCTTCTGGCTTCATTCTCTTTAGTGTACCTCTGTAGGTGGCTGGTCAGGGCTTGGAGCCTTTGTTTGGCAGTTTTGAGGGCTTCAGATATGGTCATCTGACTGTACTTTCTGGGTACTGGTCTTTTCATTGCACCTCTCTGGGCCTCTGTTAATTGACTCCGAGCAGAACCGTCTCCGAGCAGAACCGTCTTTTCCAAAAGTACACTTCCTGCTTGGAGTGTGTAGACGTGTTCCTTGCTGCTACGCTGCTTGCTTCGCTTTGTAATCTCTTTTAATCGCTTTATTTAAATTTTTATTCTACAAAACACGGATTACTCATTCTGCAGACTTCAGCTTTGTGAAATGTGTCAACATTAATCATGTCTGGACGGAAGAAACAAAGAAATATCTGCGATGATTTCTGCACTCATTCTGTGCACTCGGCCATAGTGTCTGAGATAAGGGCTCTGGTGCCAAAAGTTTTATCTCAAGCACGAGATGTAAGTACATTGTTGATACACACAGGGGCAGTAGACATTCATGATAAATCCACCGAGAAGTTGAGAAGAGATTTTTCTCTGCTGCTGGATGACCTTAAAAAAATGGAGTTACGCGTGTTAATCAGTGGACCCCTTCCAAATGCAGATGGAAAAATCGAGAAGTTTAGCCGTCTATACCAGTTAAATACATTTCTACACAATGAGTGTTCACGCAGAGGACTTGGATTCATAGAAAACTTTAATCTGTTCTGGAATAGGCTCGAGCTTTTTGAAGGGAAAGGCCCACATCTGAACAAATACGGAGTAAAAGTGTTGATGGATAACTTTGCATCTGCCTTAAAACCTGAGCCTGCGCGCAGCGTGTTCAGCCGTTGAAAGAGAGAAGGATGCAAAGGGCGAGACCCTCTCCACGGAACCCAGAGGTCTCGGCACCTCCACCGCCTCAAAAGAACTCAACACGTCCACCAGCATCATCATCAGCAGCGGATACAGCACCAGCAGCAGCAGTGGCTGCCACAGCGTCATCAGCGCCTTCAGCATCAGCGCCACCAGCACCAGCTGTGGCTGCTGCATCATCTTCAGCAGCACCTTCCCCACCTACAGCTCCCGTGAACCCCCCCCCCCATTGCTCCAGGCTACAGACAGGCCTGCACTGGGGGCCTCTCAACCTCAACCTCCGTCTCCACCAAAGACTCCCTCATCACCTTCCATGGACCCGGTTTGGGTCCCCCGCCGCCACATCCACTCCATCTAAGGAGCATGAGGACGACCTTTCCCAGTGTTTTCCATCAGTATTGGATTTACCGGAACACTCGGCAGGCATGATAAGATTGGCGATGAAGACTATTCCTCTCACACCCACTGTAGCCAGATCAAGAGTCCTATCTAACATTCATTATTACTCCCCATACGTACCTCCAAAGCCACATAGGGCGTCCAACTCAAATTCACCCACAAAATCCACCCGTCCCTCAAATTCTAACTCAAATTCAACCGCAAAATCCACCGGTCCCTCCCCTAACCCCAAAACCATCCCAACCCCACCCCTACCCCCCCTCGTTTAGCCAACCTCCCCCCACCCCATCACCAAGAACCCCTCCACCTCCACTCCCCCCTCGTCCATCTTCCAACTCCTGCCCCTTCCCTAACACCCATCCACCTCCAACCCCCCCTCGTCCAACACCCAAGAACCACCCACCTTTCCATCCTCCTCCCTCCTCTCCCTAGGATGCACAGGGTCTCTGCTTCGCAACCACTGGCAGTCTAGTTAGAGAAGAGACCCGGCTGGGGCCCTATCATGAAGCCACCTGTGCCATTCCCTTAGTGATAACACAAAGAGTACATAACAGAAAAACATCTGAAGTTAGTCAGTCTAATCTGGAAAATCTAATTCTTGTTCCGTGTAAAAATCAGCCGACCACAACTGCTGATCCTGAAACTTTGAAACTTGCTATGCTAAATGTCAGATCTCTTTGTAACAGGTCTTTTTTAATCAATCATTTTATTTGTTCTTATAATCTTGATCTTATGTTCATGGCTGAAACTTGGCTTGACCAAAATACAGGAAATGCAGTTTTAATAGAAGCATCACCAACAAATTTCAAATTTGAATCTGAAATATGGGAAAACAAAAAGGGGGGTGGCTTAGCTGCCATTTACAGAGACCACTTTGTGTCCCATAGAATGTCTCTTGGGAAGTTTTCGTCATTTGAATATGTGTCTTTTAAAATACAACAAAAACAATCTCCTCCAATACTCTTCATAGTCCTATACAAGCCACCACAGTCATGTCACAGTTTTATTGATAATTTTAGCGAGTTGCTTTCCGTTGTATGCACAGACTTTGATAGTTTAGTTATTACAGGTGATTTTAATATTCATGTGGATAATGTTAATGACAGAAATGCAAAAGAGCTGAGTTCTTTACTTGATACCTTTGGTCTCACTCAGCACGTGAGTGGCCCCACCCACAGCAGAGGGCACACTCTAGACCTGTTAGTTACTAAGGGGGTGAATATTTCAAATGTAAACGTGGTCAATGTTGCACTTTCGGATCATTTCTTTGTATTTTTTTGACATGTGTTTCACTAACAAACCACCAGTGGACTCTGCAACTGTTCGAAGAAGAGACATAAATGAAAATACGAGTGAACTATTTATGGGAATGATAAACTTTGAAAATGCATCGTATTCTACTGTAGATGAACTGTTTAACTCTGTCACCTCTAGTGTTTTGAATGTTCTGGATACCGTTGCCCCTGTGAAGGTTAAAATAGTGAAAAATAAGCAGAAGGCGCCATGGGCTAAAGCAGACTCTGTCAGAGCACTGAAGAGAAAGTGCCGGAGGGTCAAGCGGAAGTGGCGCAAGTCCAACCTCCAGGTTGATTACCAGATCTTCAAAGATAAGTTGTGCGAGTTTAACCGGGTGCTACGTAGTACGAGAGAAAGGTATTTTTCTAAAATGATTGAAGGCTGCAGTAACAACCTGCGTGTTCTGTTTTCAACAGTTAATAGATTAACAAACCCCCCTGTTCAGCTTCCATTAGAGCTTACTTCCAAACGTAAATGCAATGAGTTTGCACACTTTTTCAATGACAAGGTTCAAGGCATCAAAAACGCCATTGTCTCCAATCCACAGATAACAATCCAACAGCCAGAAAGGCTCTCTGAGCTAACTCACTTTGCACCTGTAGATGATAAAAATGTCCAAGAGATTATCTCCAATCTGAGCTCCTCCACATGCAGCCTGGATGTACTACCCACTAGATTTCTGAAGTCTGTTCTGAGCAGTCTGTTTCCTTCACTCACACAGATAGTAAACATGTTCCTTCATTCTGGAATATTCCCAAAGGCCCTGAAAACGGCAGTCATCAGGCCCCTTCTAAAAAAGAGCAGTCTGGATGCCACTATACTTAACAACTATTGTCCCATCTCAAATCTGCCATTTATGGGGAAAGTCCTTGAAAAAGTTGTTTACCTACAGCTTACTAGATTTGATATGTTTCAGTCCGGCTTTAGACCCCACCACAGCACTGAGACTGCTCTCGTCAAGGTTACAAACGATATCCGGCTGAACACTGACGCAGGCAAAGTCTCAATCTTAATCTTGTTAGATCTGAGTGCTGCCTTTGACACCGTCGACCATGAGATCCTCTTACAGAGACTAGAGGACTGGGTTGGCGTCGCTGGCACCGCCCTAAGTTGGTTTAGGTCTTACCTTGAAGACAGGAAGTACTTTGTGGAGATTGGAAACTGTGTCTCAGATCATATGGCCCTGACCTGTGGAGTACCACAGGGGTCGATCCTGGGACCTCTTCTGTTCAATCTCTACATGCTGCCGTTAGGTCAGTTAATACGCAGAAACGAAGTGTCCTATCACAACTATGCAGACGACACTCAAATCTATGTCTCACTGACTGCAGGAGAACATGGACCAGTGGACTCACTCCTTCACTGTATCTAACAGATCAGTGAGTGGATGCAAAACAACTTTGGTCCCCAGAAACAAAGAGAGAGCGTCATCTGTCACCTCCAGTCTCTCTCCCTAAAACCTTCAAACAAGGTCAGAAATCTACTGTAGGGGTAATACTGGACTCAGACTTAAAGGTCCTATATCACGCTTTTCTTCATATTTCACACTCAATCCTATACACATGTGTGATATTAATGTGTATGATACACCACACACACCCATCTCTTGTATAGAGGTGACGTCACCTCGACTCAAACGAGCTGATCCAGAGAAGAGTCTGCTCCTCTGCCTGTGAGCCCGCCTCCCCCCGCCCGCACGGTGACGTAGCATCACGCTTTTGTCGTTTATCACCTGTACTTAGTAATTTCATACATAAGAATAAACTTTTTCCAACAATGACAATCCGTCACATCGAGCCCTATGTCCTCGATGCACAATCAGACCCTAGTTATTTAGTTTACAGAAGTATACGGCGAGTTAGCGTCACTATTTACAGATCGAGGGGGTCCGAGTTACGTCTTTTACCGTGGGAATAACGTGTTTCCAGATCAGCTTTTGAGTAAGTCCAGTTCCATTGTCCCTGTAGTTCTGGAACAGTCTCAGTGAAGTGTCGCAGATGAACCGGTATTATAATTGAGAGTGAGGAGTTGACGTCATAGCACAGAGCCCCTCCCCGTCTCCGCCATGTTGGTAGGATCCCACCCAGCGGCAAACAGTTGTTGTTAACTCGGTAGCAAAGGAGGTCATCGCTATTTCTGTTTTACCATGCCTGGAGCTCATTGCTGTGTGAAAAACTGCTCCAGTACCTCACACAATAAGAAAGGAAAACGTAGGAACAACGGTTTACAATTTTTTAGGCCACCAAAATGTATACAACATCAGGGAGCGCAGGTGTCTGACCTGACGAAGAGATGCCGGATGGCTTGGTTGGCTGCAATAAGAAGAAAGGACCTTACTTTCGATCTCACCCCCAGTCGATGAGAGTGTGTTCTCTGCATTTTCACTCGGGTACGTCCTAAAATGTCTTCATGTTGTTTTTTTAAAGTTAAGAAGTGTAGGGTACCTAGCTGTTAATGTTGCAAACACTGAAGTGCATCTTAAGTTAGCTGCCTAGCTAACTATCTAACTATCTAATGACACACGTCATTATGGTCAAGAAATGTGTGCTAAATGCAATGTAATTACAGCACACAAAAACGCATGTTATGAAAACTTACCTTTGCAAGTACAACGGTGTTTTCACCGCCTGGAGGCTTGTAGATGGCCATGTCCTGCACCCAACCACAGCAGAAAGCCTCGTAACTCTCCAGTGACTTGTGACTTCTAAACTCCTGCATTGTGTAATAACTAACACCGAAAACAAGGTAATTGACTATATCCATGTACGTGCACGGAGGCAAAAAGTCTAGGTCTTTTTGCCACTCCGCTGCAGGAAGCTCGTATGGGTCTACCTGTTGTATGTCTGAGAGCTTCTCCAAATAACGTTGTTTTGCCGTGAGTAGAAGCTTTTCCCTGTACGGTCCATTCCTTTCGCCTTCACTTTCTCCATTAACTGTCTTGCTAGTGTTGTAATCGTAGATGTATCTACTGCCGAACTAATAAACGTGCTCAATTTAAAGACCTCTGGAGCGTTAGCGTTAGTGGCGTTGTCCCTGGCAACCGATGGAGGATCCTATCAACATGGCCGACCGGATTAGACCCCGCCCAAATTATCACGTGACCCCTCATTCTCAATTGATCCATAAGATGAACAGATGAAAAAAGTCGAGCCGCTTTCTTCCTCTTAGGGCCAAATAGTGTGTCACATATTTACACCCATAACACACTTCATTCAAGTTGACGTGATCCTAACACTTTTAGTTGCTGACAAAAGCATAAAAACAGAAGCTCTATGTGGTGTCCGCAAGACCAGACCACAGACGCTGGACTCGGGAGCCGGAGCCTGTGCGCTCTGATTCGCTGTTTTGATCCGTCAATCACCTCCCGCCGGCTTTTAATTTATTTTTATTTTTATTATTTTTGACAAAAACAGCATACTAATTGTGTATTGTTTACCCCGTTTTGACAAAAGTATTTAACAACTATTTTAAATACAAAGCAAACGGGGTCATGCGCGTCATGCGCGTCATCAGTGTGGTTTTCGTCACTGAAGTGGACCCGAGCGTTTCTGTGCCTCTCGCTGGGGAAGGAGACAGATTGCTCTCTTACAAAAGATTGATAGAATCAATGAATAAACTACTGTGGGCTTGTGTATGAAGGCCAAATAGCATTGTAATCATGTTTAAAGCAGAGAAAAGTCAAAAACCGTGATATGGGCCCTTTAAATTTTAATAGCCACATTAAATCCGTAACATCAGCAGCTTTCTACCACCTAAAAAACATTGCCAGGATCAAAAACATAGTGTCTAAAGCAGACTTGGGGATTCTTATCCATGCATTTGTCTCCAGTAGGTTAGACTACTGCAATGGCCTGCTCACAGGTCTGTCCAAACAGGCTGTAAAACAGCTGCAGTACATTCAAAATGCAGCAGCTCGAGTCCTGACTAGAACCAGGAAGTACGACCACATTAGTCCAGTTCTCAGGTCTCTGAGAACCTCACTGATCCTCCAGCAGGTGGTGAGTCCACAGGAGCTGAGATCTTTCAGCGGGGGCTTCAGGCAAAGTGGGGTTAAGTGTCTTGCCCAAGGACACAACGACAGCAGTCATCAGTGGGAGTCGTGAAGTAGGTCCTATGGTGGGCTCGAACCCACGACCTTCAGGCCTAAAGGCCAGTGCTAGTTGGCGCTCCGTTAGCGGCAAAAGAAAATGGCTTGGCTAAATGCTAACAACAGCTCTACATACGTCACGGTAAACTCAGATCCAATCGTTTCAATCTGCAAAAGGAGTTAATCCCTCCCACCTGTAAACAGAGCTCAATGGAGCACATCCAGACCTTTGTACGAAATGTCATTTGTACTATGGTGTGGTACAACCAGGCTATGTTTGGGCGACGTCTGAGCCGGCATCTCATTGCTTATTTGTGCCTTCATGGTTATGAGTTAGGCAGTAGCATTAAGGGTCTTGCCCAAGGACCCACACTGGATGTTGGTGTTAATGTGCTGCCGGTCGGATTCGAACCCTGGCCTCCCAGGTCCCAGCCCTGCGCCCTGAGCTATCCAGCTGCAATATAATATATGTATACACTGTATATATATATATATATACACACACACACTGTATATATATGTACTGTATGTATTTAATTATTTTTTTATTTAAAATTTCAGGCAGTGATGCTTTGTCTTTACATGGTTTATGTAAACGTTTCCACTACATGTACAGTACATATAAGGTATATAGTGAATATGTTGTTGCGAAGATAATATCACATTTGTGTGCGAGGAGTGGATCAAAAGCAGATCAATAAAGAAAAAGCTCTCATGTATACTTCCATTTTAATAACAAAAAACATAGTATGGTCGGTCACACATTTACTTTATTTTTATAAAATTTGCTATATAAATAAAGTTTATTGGATCGGATATCAACCATGGAACTGTGTAAAAATCCCTTTAGACATATACTACAAGCGGTTTATTATAATGACCGCGGTGTGGCAATGATCTCGTATTTTCGGGGCACGTTTCCAAAGCCGCCGGCTTCAGGAGTCAGGTTGATACTGTCTGGGCCTCCGCTGCACGAGAAGCTGAAGTGCTGAAGCAGTGACACAACAAAGATGAAGATCTCCATACGGGCCAGAGATTCTCCTGGACAGGACCTTTTCCCTGGAACCACAGAGAGCACAATATCAGGTACTGTGTGCCTTTAGTTATTGTACAGTGTCATTTATATTTTATATTGTTGTTATTGATGTGTCAAAGAATTGTAATGTTTTATCATGCTTGTATTTTAATGCCTTTTTACATCTTGGCCAGGGGACTACAGATGAAAAATAGCCTTCTGGCTAATTCTGGCTTTTTTAACCATGTTTGTTCATGTGTTACATGAAATTGCACTGTCCCCTTTCAAATAAACCAATCTAATCTAATCTAATGTCATCTGATCATGTTTAGAACTGAGATGTGCGTGACATTTACCTATGGCAAACGGCAAAAAGGCTGGATTCTTCTTAAAGTTCCCATTGTGATCCAGAAAGTGCTCGGGGTTAAACCTGAGGGGAGTAGCCCAATCCTTTTCCCCTTTCAGCACGGAATGTAGCACAGAGAATATGAAAGTGCCCTGAAAACATATAGAGACAAATGATCATACAGGCCAGGGGATTGGAGAGCTACTTTTATAAAACAGAAATTGGCAGAGAGCTACAGTTGTAATACAATTATAGTCTATATATTAATTACAGGAAAGTACAGTATCCATGTATTAATGAAACAATATATATAGTTAAAATAGATGTATAATGACTCAAAAGTTAATCATTCAGGATCACGTGTTAAATTCTTTGGGGAGCTACCTGAAAGATCTTAGAAATGTTAGTGTTGCATCATAAGTTACAGAACAGCACAAGTAAGTGAACAATAGTTATGCTAATTAAAATAAAACAAAATCTCTAACTCTAGCATCAAATAACAAGTATAAAATCTTTATCCTGAACATAATAATAAAGAAGAATAATTAATGTATAATGGGGGTGGCGAGCTACTGGTAACCCTAACCCTAAACCATCATAAAGGCTATTGTCCTGAGATGAAGTCAAATCGGATTCTGTGAGATGACAAGTCTTACCTTTGGAATAATGTAGCCCCTGAAATGAATGTCTTTGAGTGAGTAACGTTGGGACACTTAAGGGAATCAGGTCCAAGAAGCGCTGAACCTCATGGAGGGCCGCATCACAGAAGGGGAGGGACTTCCTGTCATCCATGTTGGGACTACGTCCTTGGCCAATCACAGCGTCGATCTCCTCCTGCATCTTCTCTGAATGTGGCAATTGCAAAAATGAATGATATTATGAAATGTATTTTGTGCATTATTAAATGTATGGTGTAAATGGCACGTACTCTGAATGTGGGGGTATTTGATGAAGATGCTGAGGGCGAATCTGATGGTGGAGCTGGTCGTTTCTGATCCGGCTGCGAACAGGTTAAGAACTGTGGACCACAGGTTTTCAAAGTGGAACTCGCTGTCAGCATTGTCATTCTCCTGATGGAAAGTGAATAGTGATGTTGAAGGGTTTGTATATATTTAGATCTCCTTTAAATATACAGTCACTTAGGGTAATTCATTGAAAAGTTGTTATTCTACCTGGTTCATGCGCATGAGAAAGCAGTCAATGAAGTCCCGAGGAGAGGCCGGGTCCAGGGTTTTCCTGTGCTCTTCAATCTTTACCCTACAGAACTCTCTGACGTCATCAATTTCTTGAAAAACGGTTTTGTGATAACCAGGTAGACGATCCAAAAGCCAGGGCATGATATTGTACAACTATAACGTACAAACAGGGATAGTAACCATTGTGCGCATGTTATTGTGTATATAAACGTACTTGCCCTACAGGACTGCTGTTAAACTTGATAAATGAGTTAAAAGCCTCCAGTAGTTTAACAAATTGTTTGTCCTCATAGACGAAGCGTTCCCCAAACACTAGACAGCAGATCACATTGGACACGGTTTGGCTTAATAAAAATGTGGGATCAACCGGCTTGGCTGAAAAAAAGCATGCACAAAACTGTGACTTCACTTCATGAAGTAAAAAAAAAAATATGCATGAATGAAATGTTAAATAAACCCAAAGTTGTACCATTGAATGAGTGGAATCGTCCGATCATTTGTGTGCTCTCCTCTTGGATCCATGAGTCCATGGCCTTTCGTCCCATCCCAAAGTCTCTCACTGTGGTCAGAGTGAAGCGTCTCAGCTGCTTCCAGCGTTCACCGTTACTCATCGCCAAACCTGGACAGGACACATAAGGTTTCTTTGTGTTCTATGGGTAGTAAATTTACCTGGCCTACAAAATATGGACATGTTGGCCAAACTGTTTATATTAATATTGAATATGTTGGTTCTAGGGATGTAAATCGGCGACCGGTTAACCGGTGGTTGACTGTCACAGCGTTAACCGGTCAAAGCTGTCGGTTAAAAAAAGAGAAAAAGGGGAGGTCTCTTAATAACGCTATTTTAAGCCCTATTTGCACGGTGTGACGAGCGGGTCTGTATCTAGCTGTGTGCGCCCATGTATTATAAACTCCGGGACGACTCTCACGCCGCACGAGCCACATATGCACACACGCACACACACACACACACACACACGTTTTTGTTACCTGGTGGGTCCCTTTGACAGGGCCGTTCAGAATGGGACCCATAGACATAATCTTTTTTTACTGGGACTACTTTCAGTAATACAAAACAGTCAATAGAAACCAAACAACTATTTTAAAGGAATTTTATTTTAGATTTTTTTTTCGAATTGCAGTGATTCTATTTTTGACATAGAATTTAATGCCACTCCATGTCCGATGTCTAAGGTCATCTGGTGAGGCATTAATGCAGGCCAGGCAGTGAGACTTCCCAGGGACCTTTCCAGTCTGTATGAAAGGTGTCATGGTCTTCTCCACAGCCTTCACCTCAGATGCAGACCATGGCTTTCTTACACGTTCTAGGGAGAGAAATAAAAATATATTAGCAATATACACTCCCAGGGTTAGGACCAAGCAGCCTGGCTGTAATCCCCCACCTGGTACACTTACCAGAAGGGGCACTGCCACTACCATGGGGTGCATCTGGATGAATGGTTGAAGGTTCTCCGCTTGAAGTTTCTTTTAGCCCGTCCGTGAGTGAGAGGATCTCTACTGCTCTCCCTGTCGCACAGAAAATAAAAATACAAGTGGCCTTTAGGGGAAAAAAATCATACATATTTTAATAATATCAAGAATTACCTTCAGGCTCAATTTGTATCTGGTCGAGGCTCTTTCCTTCGAATTCCCTCACTCTTCCCTGCTCCATGGCCATCAACACTTTGCTGATTTTGGCCAGCTCCAGTGTCCCCTCTGGTAGTCTGTAATATTGCCTGTGGATGCGAATGTCATGGCCGAGGAAGTTGGCTAGTATGTCCATTTCATTCTCTTTCATATTGAGAACTGTAGACATAGTAGCTATGTGCTTTCTAAGTTTGGTTGAGGATAGCATCTCTGGATGCACCGCACCACATTCTTTGGCTACCTGGCGTAGGGAGTCTGATCCCCTGATGTGGGTGTCTGCGCCCGGGCGGGAGAAGAAGTATGGGTTATGGTCAGAGATGGAACAGGCCCTTCTGTTCTCCACCAGCACCTCCATCGAAGCAATCATTTCAGGAGTCAAAAGAACCGGCACTTTCCGACTTCTTTTCCCTTTAATTTCAATGCGTTGAAAATGCTGACACAGCTTTTTCTCAAGTTGGGACAGTCCCAGAGCAATGTCAGAATGGATCCCAGTCTTACTTCTTAAGGTAAAGGCTGTCAGTGGCATCTTGAAACCTCACCTTCCCTTCTTCGATTGAAAATAATGACCTCACAAAGAGTCAAAACTGCCAGTTTAGACCAATGCTTAGACGTTGGCTCACTTATTAGGGTTTGCACATATTCAGGTCGACATACCTCAATATGTGCATGCATGGCTCTAACGTCCTCAGTCAGAGGGAGCAGGTCCGGAGTGTTCCACTTGGCTTGCCGGAGGGTCTGTAGGGCAGCAGAAGAAACACAGACGTCCCACCTCTTCTCAAAAAGTTGCCGGCTTCGTTGGAGGTTTTTAATAAATAGTTCATCAACACAATGCTCCATTTTTGAGTCACATTCAAGAATATCTGCTAGCTTTCTGAGGCTATGGCCGAGTTTGAGGGCCAAGGATGGAGTCTTGTATTGATTTGTTTCCTCATCATATCCAACCACAGACCTGACTGCATCAATCACATGGTTAAAGTTGGAAGGAATAAAGAAATCCTTAATTGTTTTCAGTTTCCCTGCAGTTTTTGCTTCGTTAATTAACCTACCGACTTCTCTCATTTTCTGCCTAATGTAATCATGCTTAGTCTTATCATGCCCGTGTTTTAAGTACAGGTGCTCTCCGAGTCTCAGAATCCCCTTTTCTGCTTTGACAACACCCGTGACCTCATCCTGATGCATTGCCGAAATTAAAGACCACAGCTTTTTGCTGATGCCCTCCGGTACAGGCTGGGTTAGGGAGCAGAGGGACTGGACCCTACTTCTACCTGGTTTAGCCTGGGCATCTTTCTGTGAAAGCCGGCACCTGGCCACATGCCTCCACAGCGACTTTCGCTTAAGCAATGCCCCACAGTCTATACAGTGCAAAAACTCACTGGATTTAACTGGGCAATTTGGCTGTTTAGCTGGGACTAAAGTTCCAATGCCGGCCTTTAAAACCTCAAAATTGTGCTCACGGTTTCCACTATTCCTGATCAAATCAAACTGAAGTTTACGTGCTTTAGATTTCACAGGTAGAGCCAATGCTCTGGCTACGTCACTTTCATTTCCATGTTTTCTAGTCAAATGACGGGACATTTTGTGGCAGGACATTGAACAGTAGAGGCAAAAGTGTCTCTTGCTATAAACTCGCCCCCCATTTTTCTTCTTTTGCAGCTGCATGATAACAATCTTATTTGCCTTTGGTTCGTCACTTTCCGAGTCTTGAAGAAAAGTGTATTTGATTTCTTTTTCCATACTTTTTTACAGGTTTCTTCTTGACAGTTAAATCGTCAGAATCTGAGTCGACTTCATCAATTAGGGACTCTTGACTAAGCTGCACAAACAACAAATAATTTGTAATCATTCTATATAACAATTTGAAGTCATGACTTGTAGTCAGCACTTACCAGTGGTTTGTAAGCGTGCGCTTCAGTGTGCTCCTCCATGATTTCTTGCAGCCTAATGAACCACACACTTGCACCTTTTTCTAGCCTGACACCTGATTTCCTCTGTTGTGCTGCTCCATGATTGGCTCCAGCCTGCTGGACTGAAATTGCCCCAGTGTGCCCCTCCTTGATATCCCGCAACCCACCACCAGGGTTCCGACACATAACACACTTTTTTCAGGAAAGTAAACCTCCAGGGGTCCTTTCCATATTTTTACAGAGACTGCATAAGGACCGTTAGAAAAGCATTACCCATTGATTATTAAGCTTGGACCAGTGGGGTCCGGTGTTCGGGCCCCACCACGTAAAACCAGTCCCCATGACGTGAGTGGAATCTCAGGTTATGGAACCCACCAGGAGTTGAAAACAAGTGCACACACACACACACACACACACACTTTCCCCCTCTCCATACGTAACATCCACACGCATCATCTCTCCCCTCTGTTACCGTCAAAGTTGCACACTGGCGCGGGTCAGAACTACATTGGAGCTTACATTTACACACACACACATATACATACACACACACATACACACACACATACACACATACATACACACACACACATACATACACACACACATACCGGTCTGTCGCGCTCCTCTGTGTCACGGAGCCCAAAGGATTCGCGCAAATACGCGGCTCCAGTCAAACCACATGGAACATGTTTGTGTTTATGGTCCTCGGGATCAGCTCCACACACATCACTTGTATTTAAACTTTTGTGAAGACCTGTGAGACGCGGCTCGTCACTCGCTGCTCTGACCATGTGAACGAGCAGTCGTTTGCTGCTAGAAAGTTTTGGTATTAACCCGCAGCACAGCAGAATGGGAAGATTAAAAAAGCAGTTCTCTGTGCGCAAAGGTGCCGGAGCTGTTGCGGGTTTGGGCGCCGCTGTCTCAGCTCTGATCCAGTAGAACGCAGAGCTGCACTTATGAAAAGTACGCGGCTCGAAATGGCTGTTATTTCAAAGAACGTGGACTATTTTAAACTACGCGGTTAACCGGTTTTAACCGGTTAATGAGGCTCGGTGGTCGGTCATGAACATTCATAGTTTTTTACATCCCTAGTTGGTTCTCAAGCTTATGGTTAGGAAAGCAGAATGAGCGTCACCAGTTTCCTTGGTGAAATCCAGCTGGTTCAATAACGATAATATATATGTTAGGTTTATTGTCCCTGTAGGGAAATGTGTCCTTCATTTGAAGAATCCCTCAATGGCTTCTGTCCTGAGACCCATCTCCAGATGGTGAAGCTTGGTTTGGTCAGGAATATCAGAATTTGACCTATGGTCCATGTTTTATGTACTGCACCAGTAGCATCAGTATTCTGAGCTGGAGGATTTACATGTGTGTGATCAGGATCCACATAATTGTAATGATTCAATCAAAAATATTGGCTATTTCATGTTTTTAAATATTCTAATTAAATGAAACTTTTCTTGTATAATGTGATATTCTTTCCAGTTGTTTGGGCAAATGGTTCAGACTGAGTTTCAGGTAAAAAATATTTGTAATGTGGTGATTTAAGAGTGTCTGCCGAGGGGCAACTGTGGTTTCTTGCTGTTTCTTTTCTGACTTGTTATCCATAACAGAGCCAGGACCAGCGCCCCCAACATCACAGTCGCGAACAGATCCATAACTTTTCTTCCTGTGAAACTGCTCCAGACTGATCCCTATGAAGACCAGCTCCAATCGAACCCGCCCTCCGGAAATCCCGCTCTCTGACTTCGCAGCGCAGAAGCATAAAACAGGATTGCTTCTATTACAAAAGCTGTAAACTTGTCCGTTACTTAAACATGTTGCAGCTCCATTGGTTTATTCCATTTGGGGATGGGCCGAGGAAGCACGTGACTTATGTTTACCTTTGCACACGCATTGCCTCGGCTGCTCCCTGATTGGACGAGACTGGAATCGTTATATCACAGAATTATTCAACTTTTATTGCCACTTTCATAGTTAGTTAACTCAAACTGCACCCACAACATTGATGGCCTATAATTAATAATTAAGAGTGAAATGAAGTTAAGTCTCAAAACGAAATCTAACTCTTATGTGCATGTGGCTTGATAAAAACACAACCACACAGATGCATCCCCCAACTTCGTCTCTGAGCTCTTTGGTGGTCCTCATTCTGACTCCTGGGAGCGGGAGCGTGGGAAGGACGGTGGTGATGATCCAGGACATTCAACATTCCCCAACATTATGGATTATTTATCAACACTTATGGACCAATACCAATGTGTTTTCTATTCTATTTCTTGAGTTTGAACTGTTTGATTCTCTAATCTTTGTTGGCGAATTCAACGGTTTTGTAAAGTTCTCTGACTAATGTTGTGATTTAATACAAGAAAAAATAAATTGAAAGTTAATTGATGTATTTTACTGAATATTCAAAATGATAAACGCCCAAATAGTACGGTAACAACAATCTGTTTAAAAAAAAAAAAAATCTGTTATTATGCAGTAATAATCTATAAAAAAAAACATTACCTGAACTGCCAAGTGACTCAATCAAAAATACATACATGATTTATAGATTACACTTGCAACACATCAATGTTAGACATAAGCCTTCATACAAATTACATTATTTACATCATTAAGGAACTTTGTCTGGAGCCGAATTTATGGTAGAATATTTATTTGAAAATTACATTTGATGCAGGAACTAACTGCCTTACACCAGGAGAGACATGGAATGAAATCACAATGAAATACTTGCAGGTTAAAACATGTCAGAAATGTATTGCACAAGTTAAAATACACAATGCAGAAGTGATTAATAGCTTTCAGGGGAGTGTTAGTCCTGTTTTTCCGGAAGGCCTATATTCAGTGGGGTAAAGGTTGGTCAGTAACATCTGAACTGATGCTGAACAAATTCCACAACTCAAAATCAACACATGATACAGTGGACATCTCCCGCTGGTTTGGGTTTCTTCATTAACAGCTGTGTGGCCGCGGAGTCACAATACAGTGTCCCTGCTTGACCTTAGGATTTTCTCTGCACGGAAATAGTGAGACATCACAGACAGCGTTCAGAAACTCAGGATCATGAATGATTTAAACTGAGGAGCAAGGGCACTGTGCCAGGAAGAATATGCTGATTAATTTATGAATAAGACCTGTACATGATCACATTAACAACATAGACAGACGATTGAACCCTCCCAGTTCTGCTGTAACCCGTATTGTTTGCGGAAGAAGCTAGAAAATGTAATCTGGGGCCAAAAGAGATAGTAACGGCCGAGCAACCAAAGAGCCAATCAGGAGAGCTTCTGGACTATTCCCGTTCGCAAGCTAAAGCCAAAGAGAAGGCTCCTTGGTCAGTTGATAAGGCTCAAATCTGGATTTGCCATGAAAATATCAAAATATAAACACCAGGATCATACAGAGCATTAAACCAAACATTTGTAAGACCAAAATATGGTGAGTGTGGACACAAAGAGGGTCAAACAAGTTGGGGCCAAACTTTTCCCATTTTGTTTTTTATGCTTCATTGAGCTAGCAGGTTAGCGCTGTCCATCTATAGTCAGGAAGTAAGTAAGTAATCTTTATTTATAATATATAATATATGATTACCAATAAACTTTCTGATTAAATACCAGCCACTAGAAAGCAAAAGATCCGCAGTCAAACGCATCAAAATCAGAGTCCGCCTCGAAGTCGAAGCTGTTGAGGTGTGGCGAGTCCACGTCCTGGCTGCAGGCGTGGAAGGCGCCCCCTGCAGGCAACTCAGAGAAGGCCCCAGAGCCGCTGCTGATGTCAGGGGGGCGGCTCGTGGCCAGGGGTGAGGCGGGTCCACAGGCGTTCAGGTATCCCAGAGCAGAGGAGGCCGCGGCCCCACCCATCAGCAGACACACGGCCCGGACCGCCCTGGCGTCACTGCTGTTACCATGACGAAGACAATCTGACACACGGTGAGGGGCTACGGACACGCTTCTCAAGGGACGACGCACTCCATTGACTGGACACAAGAACAGTACAACCAATACTTTTTATACAGTACTTTTTTTGCTTATTTCAAGCACACAATGAAAAAGTGTACATTATGTACAACAACAACAGTGGCTGTAAGAATCCTGATGGTAAATAATGTATCGTTACTTGAAGAGTGGGATGAAGTTGAACACTTTGAAATTCCCACCTCCTCTTTCAACGTCTAAATATATTTTTGTTTACTACATTTGGTTTTACACACTTTCTTGCAGAACTTTCTTGCTCCTATTTTCCTACATATTTACAATATGTTAATAACATAAACAAAGGAACAAACTCATTTTCCGTCATTCGTATAACATTCAAAATTAAATTCTTTGAATCTTTTCCTGAATTGTTTTATACTTGGATGTTGCTTGAGCTGCTCAGTTAAGCTGTTCCACAGTTTAACCCCTTGTTCTGTTTTTTATTTATACGTAAACAGGAATGGTATGGGAAATTAAACACGAAATCAACTTTTTTAAACTCATAAACTGCATAAATATGTTAATTGTAGTGCTCTCTACAAATCCTGGTCATGTTTTTTGACATTTTAGTTCAAATGAGATAAAAATCTAACTTTTGAGCCAAAAAACGTCTGTGTGGCGCCCTCTCTACCTTTTTTGGTGGTACTACATTTGAATTTGGTCCCGCCCTCTCCATTGACTGTAACTCTGTCTGAGGTCATTTTGTATGTGTGACGTCAGTCTGTCTGTGCCAGTGATATAGGGATCCCCCAGGGTCAGCTCTAGATCATATACGGAATCGGGACAGAAGCGGAAGTAAATATAACAAACTACCTATTTATGCCTAAACTTAACCAGCCAAGCCATTCCCATAAAATAAACCCAACCCACCCTTAACCCTAACCTTAACCATCTTACTCAGACACCTTAAACTTAACCAGTCACCACCTAAGGACTTATTAGTCTAAAACCAGTGGGGCCGGGTTTCGGCTCAAAAGTGGCCAAAATGACGTGCGCTGACATACTTGCAATACCACCCCGGGCCGATGGGGGTGGACCCAGAAGTAGAAGTAGCCAATGCTAACATATAGCATTGGCAGACCTCTCGAAAACGTCTTTACAGGATGGACCAAAAGTTGGCTCTTGGCCCAAAGCTCCGTTCCACATGTGTGTCAATGCTGAGGGGGGTGAATTTATTTGGTCCACTCTAGTTTACTAGTTTTGCTGTGAATTTTTGAAGTCTCTCGTTCAAATGAATGGAGCTCTCACCAGCTGACGCATGCGCAGATGCGTTTTTTCCATAGACTGTATATATTAACGGACAGAGTCACGCCTATCTCCGCCGTTCTAACTAATGGGCCAAAAAAATTGCTCTACTGGAGCTATCCAAAATGGCCGTGAGTGGTCCCGCCCACAAGAAAATTGTGAAAAAACGCATCTGCGCATGCGTCAGCCGGCGCAACTCCATTCATTTGAACGAGAGACTTCAAAAATTCACAGCAAGTAAACTAGAGTAGACCAAAAAAAATCACCCCCCTCAGCATTGACACAAATGTGGAACGGAGCTTTGGGCCAAGAGCCAACTTTTGGTCCATCCTGTAAAGACGTTTTCGAGAGGTCTACCAATGCTATATGTTAGCATTGGCTAATTCTTCTTCTGGGTCCACCCCCATCGGCCCGGGGTGGTATTGCAAGTATGTCAGCGCACGTCATTTTGGCCACTTTTGAGCTGGGTTTTTTCACAATTTTCTTGTGGGCGGGACCCATGGATGTATTATATTAACTGGATAGGGTATTACTAGCTTGTAGCTGAATAACTCATGTGCTCGGGGGATTCTCGTGGTACTGCAGACTGAACCAGACTAAATTCACGCGGGCTACCCAGAAATTTTTCCCATAGGACTCAATGCATATTAAAACAGCTCAACCTCAGCTGACAGAGAACCTACAGCTTTAATAAAGATCGGATTTTGTGGGGATTTTAGTGTCCCTTGTCATCCTGAACTTTTTTTCTTCTTAAATCCTTCGGTTTTGTTTAATCCACACTTTAGTGCCACAAACTCTGCTCGTCTGGCTCTCGCTCTAACTCCCGCTCTGATGAACTGCTCTGATTGGTCAGAGCGCGGCCGAGCCCCTCTGTGCACGTGCGTGAGACCCGGTGTGAGACCCACACACGCGTGTTTGGCGCAACGCATTATGGGAGATCATCCACTGCGCAGAACCGGGAGGACCAGACGATGCCCAAATACAGGCGAGTTTCCCATAGATCTTTGCGACTTCCGCTAATCTTTCAGCCCCCATGCCGTCACAAAGCACCACTGAGCACAACCATTCATTTGAATAGGGCGCCATCTTGAATCGCCGGGGCTTGGCGGGACTACTCCCGGCTATTTTGGATAGCTCCAGTAGAGCACATTTTTTGGCCCATTAGTTAGAACGGCGGAGATATGCGTGACTCTGTCCGTTAATATATACAGTCTATGTCTAAAACTAATTTGAAAGTAGGATTGTTACTTCCGGTTTCGTCCCGATTCCTTATATGATCTAGTGCCGACCGATCTTCCCAGTCACATGACCCATAGCCGCGTGTCAGCCATCTTGACGGAATCCATCAGCCGACTCCGCAGCAATGGAGCTAAGCTAGCTAGTTCAAAAACTCTCTGGAACTACATGAAAACTGAACAAAGAATTCTGCGGTGAGTTACCCATTTATATACCGAACCTAAATCCATCAGATCCTCTTCAAATGTGTCCTAAAATGTTCGTTTCATGTTAATGGTTACTTCCGGGTTTATCACGATCGCTTTTTGTCACATTAAAACAGTATTTTCGTCAGGAAAACGTTAACAAATAATTCTGAAAACCTCTGTGCATTTGTGTTAAGGATGTATACTGTATTCTCTGATTAACATTTAATGGTGTTGATTGATTGATAAGTATTTGTTTATTGAGTGGCTAGCTCGGCTAGCTTCTCTTGCACAGGCAAGTAGTGACAGCTCGTTGTACTTGTATGTTTGTAATGAAAACTTGAACAAATAATTCTGAAAACTTCAATGCATTTGTGTTAAGGATGTATACTCTATTCTCTGATTAACATTTAATGGTGTTGATTGATTGGTATCTGTTTATTGAGCGTGGGCTAGCTTCTCTGTACAGACAGAAGTAACAACTAGCTTCGAGGAGCCAATTAATAAATTATAATTAAATATTCGAATATTTAAATTAATAAACAAACGAACTTCGAATATGATTTTTGTGCAAAAGTCAAAGCCCTAGTCGTGACTGATGCTAACTGAGCTAATGTTGGTATACTGAGCTGTTTATTGCTGCCAACCACTTGTTTCTCCGTTTTGTTTCTTTTGGGATACGGTATAAAGATATTCCTTTTGTCTGATCCCGTATCTGGTCGCATCCAACTGCACAGCATCGCTTTGGCATGATAGGAAAATTTCGCAACGACCTGTAGTATCACCAGTGGTTTTGCATTTTCTAGTCCGTCAAGATGGCTGCTCCAATTGGCGTGACGTCAGGTGGGACGTCCCTATAAACCCATTCAACTCTCACACACCCCAGCAGCAGGTTGGAGTATTCTGGCGACATCTAGTGGATTAAAATTAAATTACATGAGTTGACAACCACTGCTGCTGGGTTATTCTTTGAATTAGGTTCAGGTGTGTAGCTCTACAATTATCTTAGTGTGTAATCAAGGGTGGAATGAGACTTTCTGGTGTGTAAACTATTGCTTTAAACAGCAATGACAACTGTTTTTGTGTGTGTGTGTGTGTGTTTGTGACAAGCGATCTGTCAATCACAGCCCAGACCACGCCCAACTCTAAGTTTTAAGAGAACCTTTTCAAACGTTCATGTGGGCAGAGGAAGGCTGGGCACAGGTGTTTAGTCGCTCTTTAAAGCTCATCCATCCATCCATCCATTTTCTACCCCTCAATCCATTTCTGGGGAAGCAGAGCTGCCACCCAGTTCACAGAGCACTCACTGATCCTCCTGCAGGTGGTGAGTCCACAGGAGGAAGGCTGCTCTGTCAGTGACGACACAGCCTAGATCTTTCAGCGGGGGCTTCAGGCAAAGTTGGGCAAAGTGTCTTGCCCAAGGACACAACGACAGCAGACCTCAGTGGGAGTCAGTGGAGAAGGTACCTTCAGGCTCAAAGTCCAATGCTCTACCAACTGAGCCACTGTAGAAGTTAAAGCTGAGGTACCTAACTATACAGGCTGTCTTCATCTTATTAGACAACATTGTATCTCTAACCCTTGCTAACTTCAAGAAAGATTCCTGTCAGTCTCTCCCTGCATTTGAATTCTGCAAAAATACCTCCTTCCATAAAAGGAAGGAGGTATTTTTGGAAATGTGTTGTATTTCACTTGACCAAGCTACCCCCAGGACAATATTAAACTACAGAGAAGGACAAGGAAGGATCAGGAAAGAGGCATTTACACTTTGGACTGAGAGCTGATTGGCTACAGGCAATAGTGGTCCTCTCACATTCCCTTAATCTAAAGCCAAAAAAATACAGTATAGAATGTTATTTTATTCTTATACCTTGACTTGTCTCTCTCAGCGAGCCGCCTCTCTCAGCTATGCGACCCAGTGGGGGGGTGTCACATGTTTTGGGGGAGCCGGGGTCTGTGTCGGTGAAGGAGTCCGGGAGGGAGTCTCTGTCTGTGATGCACGGAGTGATGCTGCGCTGCCTCTGGAGGGTCATGGGAGACATTACACCCTGTGGACCAACAACAGCACACAATTACACCTCTGCCCTAATACCATGCAGTGTAAAAGTGAACGTACACGGCCAGAAACTAGGACAGCTCACCTCTCTCACTTTGCGAATCAGATTAAGCCATAAACTGAGAAAGCAGAATAGATTAGTCATCCATGTTTGCCTCTTATCTCTTGTGTAAATATGTTTCATAGTCAGTGGGACAGAGGAGACTTTTATTGTCACCGTGTACCAGATAAGGACTGGGGCAAAGGACTTTTATAATGACACTAAGGCTTTCATTAAAAATCTAATTCCAAACTTCCTGCTTCTCCTTTGTGTAATGTATAATATAGTGCTTTGTTTGCTTATTTGTATCATGCACTAAATAGGGATTCATAAAGTTGGAAGACACTGTTAAAAAGCATTCTATAGAGTATCCTCAAATAATTAGGTTTAATTAAATTCCTTGTTTTCTTGGCCAAACTTTTTTATGTTAAATATGCAAAAGCACTATTTCAATGTCTTTTTTTCCAATAGAATTGTAATGGATATTTGGATTTCTCCGGGGGCCTGGATTCTCCAGATGGATTTATCCAGGTGCCCAGAGTGAGGACAAAGCATAGGCAGCATTTCAGATTTATGAAGCTAAAATCTGGAACAGTCTTCCATAAAATATGAAACGCACTTCACTCCTGACAATGTTCAAATCCAAATTAAAAACAGTTCTATTTCACTGTGCATACATGTCACTTTAGTATTTACTTTATATATATTCTATATATTTGTTTTAAGTTTTATTTAATAATCCATTTTTCAAAAACAAACAAGAACATACACAAGTCCAGGAAAGCAAAAATGATCCAACAAAAAACCAGTCTGCTCAAAAACAAAATTGATTACAATTTAAATGGATATCATAGACCATAAATACACATGTTTTCTTTGATGCCTCGATCACAGTGAACCAAAAGACAATAATTCTCTCTCTCAGCAAATTATTCTCATGTTTCATTTGTTGCTCTATGTTGACCTAGACCTGTTTGTTTGTTGTGTGTATGTTTTTAATGAATGACAAACATGAAAAAACTTGTTGCATGTGACGAATAAGCTTGAAAGCTGACATACTTGCAGTCGTCTGGATTGTCGGAGAGCAGGAGGAGGAACTTGTTCTGGGGGAGGATGAGGGCGAAGCAGCAGTCCCGTCGGGCCCCTGCAGGTAACTTGGGCAGGTCCAGGATGTCTCGGCCCTCAGCGATGTTCTCACAGCCGTTCTGCAGAGAGATGAACTGATCCGGCGGAGACTCGGTGTCACGGCACACGATCAGGCTGCCCTCCGCCGTCAGCACCAGATACTTCTCCTTCCACTGCTTGAACATAAAGCCTCCTGCACATGGGACGTAAACACTCTTATTCCAGGCAAAAGGGCGGGTTGCCAGGAAGTGATTGCATTTTTTTCACCATAGATCATTTCTATAGGTGTCCAGAACATACATAAAATTGTCCTATTAGGAGAAAATCACTCCAAGATGTGTTAGAATATGGATTGGCAACTAATATTAATAATCATAGGTCTAATTTTTTCACTTTACTCCTATTAAAATGACACTTTACACAAAAAAACATAGTCATGCAAAGTCAATTTTTAGGTTCAAAATGTAAATGAGCTCAACTAATATATGTGCCCACAAATGTTATATTGAGCTCATTTGTATTGTCAACTAACTATAATAATAATAATAATATTTAAAATGATACTAGATAAAAGGTTTCTTTTCATACTTTCCACTTTCAAGTTGCTTTGTGATAGAAGCACAGACTGTAAATATTGATAATGGAGTGAGGGCTTATTTGATTAGTGCTGCGCTCATTCAAAGAAACTTTCAAAGAAACGTATAGTACAAAGAATGACCTTTCATGGAAACTTCCAGTGTGTTGCGTTTCGTTGTTATTGGAGTAAACATTTTGAATGCACGAGAATGTACCCCACAGGACTTTTTGAATGTTCTCTGGACCAATTATAGAATTTACTCATGAAAATTATGATTCAAAAAATGTATTAAAATGTATTTAATGTGTTTGTCCCAAAATCAGGGGAACGCCATTACCAGAGAAAATGTAGACTTTCGGGAATTCAAGATATTTTATTGCCGATTTGTTTACACTGTTGAAATAGTTTGGGCAAAATAAGTAAACTTGAGAGTTGGACTAATTTAAACACATTAGGTCATAAACTTTGCTCAAAATAAGAAAAATCTTGGCATTTAAACAGAGATGATGTTGTTGTGTGCTCTTGTCTGTATGCGTTCTCTTCGCTAAAATGTAATGTCTGCTTGTGACTCAGATGCAGTCATATAATTGATTATGCAGTATTTGTCTAATCTCAATATCAAGATCATATTTCTAGAGATGTGTTAAAATGACAAACAATATTCTGTTAGTGTACTATCAATTTGACAGTAAATATCTCACTATCTCAAAAGTAAATTCCAAAAGAAATATCTTTGAGACATGACTGAGGTGGCAGCAGCTCCATGGTCCAATGCCAGCCTCGCACCACTTCACATGGATGACAAACACATGTTATTGGACAAAGAGGAAGTGCTCTCTTTCTCTGTTCAGGGGATTATGGCCGAGCAGGTGCACTGTCAGATGGCTGCAGCGTTCCAGCTTTGGAAAATGAGAAATTGTTACAGCTGGTTTAATCTCCCAATAATAATAATAGTAATGCATTGTAAGACATTGCAGTTTTTTGTGCAACTTTCCTGATGGAGGCTGTTTTTTTCCTGGGTCCATCTCAACATTGTTTGACACAAAATGTTCATCTACACTGCAAAAAATTATCAAATATGAGGCAACACTTGCTTGAATCGAGTGCTTTTTTATCTTAGTTTGCGCATATTCTGACTGTCCTAAAACAAGATTTGCAAGGAAGACATTTCTTATATCCAGGAATTCTTTTTACATATTTTTCATCACTTTTAGCTGGAGACACGCAAGTGACTTCACATAGCAGTACGTTTCTGGTCATATCTGCGGAGAGGAGCGTCGAACCAGTTTAAGAAGCCAGGATTTTGAGCACAAGTAGGTACATATTTGCAAACTAATAACATCCCCATGTCAACACAAAGGTAGCACGCTCTCTGGACATTTGTCTTCTGCTTTAGCATCCTCTCAATGTTACTGGGGCAACCTGTTGTCACGATACAGTGCCTATGTGGCTTGTAATGTGCTTTATTCCATGCAGCAAAGAGAAAGAACAGATCCATTTGCAACTACTTCACAAGCACGACACATACATGGCTATCATAAACCTCCATAAAAATCCATGCCTGCTTTGTTATAATATTATTTTCAGCTTAAACAAATAGGATATCATCATGGACATATGGACTCACCATATTTGCGGAGGAATCCCCTGTGCACTCCAGTGTTCATGTTGGTGTCCTCAATGCAACAGGCTCAGGACTAACGGCTCAACACGAGACACATGGGAATGATGCTGAAAAATAGGCTAGAGAGAAAGGAAAGGGAGAGCGAGGCTGTAATCCCCACAATTTAGTCCTGTTTATCTCAGCTGGTCTGTCACTGCTGGAGCACTCTTTTGCACGTGTGCTATTAACCTATATGCAGAGATGATGCTTTGGTCTGTCCATGTCTGTGTTATTATTCAGTTTGCTGTGGAAAATGCTGTGGAGAAAATAATAATATAACAAAACACATAAACTCACTTCAATTGGGTTTGCATCCTGGGATTAAGTCTGTGATTGTTTAGTCAGGAAGTCCTTATATAACAAGTTTAGAACAAGGCAGCCGCACAAGTTCACGCCACGTGTAATGAATAGATATAAGCGATGGACTGATGGTTCTCAACTGGTGGGTCGGAACCATTTTTGAGTAGGTCTCAAGCTTTTCTTGGGTAACGTTTTTTAAATATGTATCTACTACACTGCAAAAAAAAAAAAAACATTTGGAAAGAAGTCAAATTTACGTGTAAAAGCAATATTAAGAAATGTATTCATGATGCATGTATTGACATTGTAAACTGGCATCTAAATTATGCCAGTTTACAATGTTAAACTGGCATCATTTCCAGATTTCTTAAAATGATTTACTTCAAGTTCAAAGACAAATTGATTTATTTTGATGTTTCCTCAATGTATTTAAAGAAGTCCAGAGTCTGTTGTTGGGGTGATTTGTTCATTATCTTAGATTTGTAGTATAACTCAATGCATATAAGAAATAAAATATTTTACATATTTATGTACAACATTCAACAACATTCAGTTATTATTTGGATCTTATTGAAAGGAAGTGTGATCTTACCGCAGAACCACAAACACCACCCTCCGTCTGTGATTTATGTTTCAATGATTGGATTCTGTTTAAGTGCACTTTTGAGAGACAACTAAATCATGAGCAGATGTAACACTTCAAAATATGACTTTACCAGTTTTTTTCAACCCATGGTATAATCACACAACTACCCTTAAATCATATTGTTTAAACAAAAGAGCAAAAATAAGTAATTCACCAGGAAACCGGGTAATCTTTAGTATTTTTTTGGGTTACAACATTTGATTAGCACTTAAAATGTTGAATAGTGTATTAAACCGGGGATGTCCAAACTTTTAGTAAGCGGGATGCTAAAGCGGATTTTAAAAGACTGAGCTGAAGTTGGCTGAATGACAAACGTTTCACAATCAAAAACAGATGAATATTGAAGCCGCAAGTGGCGTCAAATGGCCCTCGCCGCACCGTGATTTCCGATCATGCAATTCTTCCGATAATTTTTTCTTGATAACAGAACTCTCAAACCAATAATGACCGCAGCCCCAATGCAATCTCTGTTTGTAATTCAGGTGTGTAAAATACTGCCATTACTTTGCAAGTACAACAAGCTATCAGCGCTTGTCACTACACTGTGCAGTTTATCTGCACACTTGTCTGTGTAGAGAAGCTAGCGGAGCTAGAATAAACAAATACATATCAATAAATCAACACTATTAAACGTTAATCGGACAATACAGTACACATATACATCCTTAACACACATGCACGGATGATTTCAGGATTTGCTGTCAACGTTTTCATGACAAAAATACTGTTTTAAAGTGACAAAAAGCGATCGTGAAAAACCCGGAAGTTACAATGAAACAGCTAGCTAGCTTAGCTGTTACCTGCCTAGCACGTCCCGGTGAAACCTTTGGGAGCTAACTATTTTATTTGCAGTCATTAAATACATTTCGAATTATAAGGGCTGTCTAATATTTGTTCAAATATATATATATTTTTTTAATTTTAGAATTATATTTGAATTTTGAAGTCGAAGCCCTGTAGAGGCTAGAGGACGCAGGCTGTTCGCTGCTCGTTCTGTGAGTGGAGGAGAACAAACGGCCCGCTAAGACTCCATTCAGCACTTTTCACTGCCTGATTTTCATACACAGTGGAATCAATGACCTCAAGTTTTCAATTAAATTATGTATAATGATACAACTTGTATGTAGTAAAAAATATTTGTATGAACTACTTAGAAAAAAAATCGGGTATAGCTTCTTTAATACTGTCAAAAACGGCCAAAAAAGGTCACATTTTGCCGCTCCGCTGCTCAAACAACGTTGCACTGATCAAAAATCGCCGAAGTCATTTTGAAGGTACATGTGTTGAGATGATGTGGAGCGATTTTGAGGCGAATCGGTGAAACGGCTGAGGAGGAGTCACTTTGCAACCGACATGTATGAAAATGATTGGTTTTCACTTTTCCATTTTGCAGTGGAATTTATGGGCTTCCTGTTTGTCAGAGGGGGGGGCCATAATAATATGTTTTTCTTGTCTTGACTAGAGGAACATGTGTGTTGATTTTCCTGGCTCTACGACAACCTTAGAATAGTCCCATAGGGGTATTAGTTTAGCTGTTGTAGGTGGCGCTGCTCTGGCACAAAATAAACACCAAAATAATAATAATAATAAGTTTTTGCCAGGTCTGATTTTTGGGCAAAATTTAACAACTTTTCATGCATGTTCAGGGGGTCAAATTAAGGCAAACGGCGCTGAAGAAAAAAGAAATAAATAAGATAAGATAAGATAAGCTTTATTTATCTAACAGAGGAGAAATTAAAGCCGCAAGTGGCGTCAAACGGCCCTCGCCGCACCGCGCGCACTCCCCGCACCACCACGTGCCACACCGCCCCGCACCAAGCCGCCCCGAACCATGCCACCCTGCACCATGCCGTCCCGCATCACGCCGCAAAAGAAATAAATAAGATAAGATAAGATAAGCTTTATTTATCTAACAGAGGAGAAATTAAAGCCGCAAGTGGCGTCAAACGGCCCTCGCCGCACCGCGCGCACTCCCCGCACCACCACGTGCCACACCGCCCCGCACCA